AAAGTTTCCCTCAATTTATTTATGTAAGCATTGTTGAATTTTAATTTTTTTTTATAAATCACCACATATGTCTTTTGGAGAAAAATATTCGTAATTTGTTACATAGTTCGAGAGCTTTAAGATGTTTCAACTACTTTGAAGTCGTAACATGTGGAATTTTAATAAAGGTATTTTAAGTACGTCTTGTATCATCGAAATCTTCACGGTAATACAAAAGTAAGGGCGATGATTTTCTTCAGTTTGACCCTGTGCGTGACAACGTATCGATTTTTTGACGTTATCGGGAAAACCAGAAACGATAACGATCCTTTACAGTCACGAAATAAAATAAAAAATCCACATCAGTTTGCAAGAATGAATAAAAATAAACCAAACGTTTGCAACTAGCATTTAACTAATACATTTTATGCTGGCTAAGGTAGTAAGCATGAGAGAGAGAGAGAGAGAGAGAGAGAGAGAGACAGAGAGATGCTATCGTATATTTTTATCTTTTCTCGGCTCTGCAAATTTTAGTTGAAATCAAACATGTAGCATACTATCATGTTGCCTATTTCCATCCATCAGCGTGTTATTTGTATTATAGTTTCAAATTTATTTCGACGATTTTAGACCTACGGTGACTATCTAATACTTTCTGTTCTTTCATCTTATAGTCAGCACAAAAGCATGGAGACAAGGAGCAGCCAAAGAAACGTAAGTAAACTACAGACGTTTTCACATACAGTTTTTCAGGATGATCGTTTTACAAAAGAAGGGTCTCGTATTTGTGTTGTATTGTAAGTGCAAACCCAAAATCAACCAAAAGGAAAACTGACTAAAGTTTGACCTACACTGTCATACCGTTCACGTCAGTTTAAAAATGTCATTTGTAGGCTGCTTACCCACGTTTATGATCTTAAGTACAATTTATTTGCATATAGAATATACTTACTGCATATTTTTAACAGCCAAAGTTAGCCAAATCATTTAATATTGATCACTTAGAGAGCAAAACAATCTGATCACATCCAGAGCTATATGTCACGTATTCATCTCATTTACTTGATCTAGAAGGGAGCATGCGTGATTGATCATAAACCGGCCGACAGCTTTCAAAATCATATGCATTTTAAGTATTAAACATACGTTTTTGTGGGGAAAGTTCAATTGGGATGTGAGCCATACAAATGCTGTTTAAATAGACAAACCTGGGGACGCTCGACATTGTTAAATGCAATTCATGGGTCCATTAACTGTCTGTGAGCTCAGATCTCCATGCATTCGCCAGTCTAGTGTCGCCACCTATTTATGACTTCTGAATCAATTTTGTATCCATTTAGTTTTACCAGGGAATTATATTCCCTGGTTTTACCTATTTATAGATATTTGTGATGGTAATGGTTTAACTCACAGTTTACATGTTAAAAAGATTATCCGTGTCTCGTCTTTTAAAAATTATATGTCTAGGTGATGTGTTTGAGGATTCCGACTGATCGATTTTTATAATAACGAGATTGGTTAACTTTTACTGGTGTTCTAAAACGTGCAGTCTGCATAACTCTGGTCGTCCAATATATATATATATATATATATATATATATATATATATATATATATATATATATATATATATCCAAATCCCCGTTTCTGCGCAACATTCCTCAAATTAGTAGAAAGCATTTTACAAAATGCATTTTCGTGTCAGAGGAATTCTTCCTGATTATGGTATTTTTCTACTTAATCCTGATGGAAAATTTGATCGTTTTCAGATGCGCTGCCTCATAATCCATTTCATAAGCGCAAGAAGGTGGATTTTTCCGTCAACATCGACTCTGGTCATATTCAGTTGGAGCCGAAGGACCTGTTTTGCGAACTGTCTGTTTTGAAGAAGATGAAAGGAGTGGAAATGGAGGAATGGATGGAAACTGCCAGGTGAAAAAAAATACATTAAGTGTAATTATTAAGATCTTTACACCCCATTCCCCCATCAACTGGCTTATTGGTTTTTTTCTTTTTTAAAGTGTTTAAACAAAGACTATGTGATTAAGGCTGAAAATGATTTTGAAAGCTATAGAATTGGGAGTTCTTCTGTGAAAGAAATTTTCTCTCTAACAAAGTACGTTATGAATTGTATTATTTGTTCATAGATGGGTTAAGTTCGAGGAAGTGTTGGAGCCCGGTGGTAAGCGTTGGTCTAAGCCCCGGGTGGCCACGTTGTCTTACAAGTACCTGAAAGAGCTGAAGGAAATTATACATGACGGTGTGGTCATTCTTGATCTGGATGGTTCAGACCTACTGGAGGTGTCTGGTAAGTAAATAATAAAAATAATAATAATAATAAAAATATAATAATAATTTAACATAAAAGTTGTCAGGTGCTTATTAAACCGTGTGTGATGAATTTCCTCTCGATATCACCGTTTTCATTTTATCGATACGTTTTCGCACTTTACATTTCGCTCATTTTCTCTCTCCTTATCTCTCTCTCTCTCTCCCTCTCTCTCTCATTCTCTCTCGATCTCGGTTTTTAAACAGCATTAATTTTCTAGACATGCTCGTGTATCGCCTGATGAAGTCACAATACCACGGCCTTGATCATGAAAAAGTGATAGAGGTCTTTCTTCGGAAACACCATCATCCACACGAGAAAAGGTCCAAGATCAGGGCTCCCACTGTTGATGTCACCGCACAACAGTACACGAGTTCTATGCGTGTGCCGCCGTGTAAGTTAATTCATCATCACCACTATCGCCGTATTGTCATATCGTAAAAATTATAAGACACTCTTTGAATAAAACTTAATATGAAAGTGCATATAAGGACTGAAAGAAAATATCACGATGAAGACTAATATTATTTCTAGTTTTTTCTTTATGCGGATGGGTGTAAAGGGCCTATTCGTAACGCAAAGCCAGAATTAGTACATTTCTCAATGCTTTCATTCGAATTTCGTATTTGATTGAATGATATTGTCCGATTACAGCTCCATCTGTACGACAGCGGGCCTCGTCCATCTCCAGTAGCTTCAAGAGTTTCCGCATGACGTCAGATGACGAAGACACGGGTCACGAGACCGACGGAGTAGACCGAATGGGGGATTCCGAGTGGGATTATGAGCCCGAGTTTCCCGATTCCCCCGATGTTCCGCCTAGGCAAGACAGTGCTGAACGCCTGGAGATGGAGGGAAAAGATGTTTTGGGGCCAGTGCTCAAAACGGAATACAAGGTAGAAATCGTCGGCGTATCATGACCATGTTTCGATATTCAATATGCAATGGTTAAAAATATTATTGTACATGTGTGAATAATAGATTTTATTTGAAAGGCCATGCCTTTAGTGCAACCCGTATGTTGCTATTGGTATAAAACTTTAAAACGTATGTTAAGATACTTCACAGTCTATTACCACATCATGGGATAAGCATTATTAAATGACTTTTCCAGTTTGAAACTTTTTGCTAATACAGAACGACCGGTATATAGCAGGCTGTAAAGCCTTCTGCCTTAACCGCTTGAAGTAGTGAATCTCAAAAAAGTTTAACCAATAGATTAATGCTAGGACGCTTTCGCTTATTTTCTGAAGTTTTATTTGTAGCCAAATCGCAACTTTTTGCGAAAGATTCCACCAGGCGCTGAAGCGTGCAATATCTGCGTGGGCGAGGCAGATTTTCTCTCTCATCCCATGTTCGTCCTTGCTCGGCTTTCTTCGGGTGTAGTACTGGGAGACATGACGGAGGTTCACCTTCCAAGCAGGTTCATTTTGTTTCTTCTGGCCCCCAAAGGCGGACAGAACGTCATCAACTATGAGGAAATGGGGCGCGTCATGGGGACTCTGATGAGCGATGAGGTATTTTTTTAATGTTCACTTATTCTTGATTGTTTGGTGACATTACTGGATAGAGGGACTAAAAAATTCATATTCTCCGTACTCGTTATTTTCATTACTTTGTTGTCAGTTATTCCCAGAGCGGAGTGCTTGTATTTTTTCCACATCATAGTAAATAGACATAACTGTGCATCATGAGAAAAGGGATTAACTTCAAAATAGCAATATTTCTCTGTTTTTTAACCTGTTATTTGACATTAACTGGTTATTTGTATGATGCTACAATGAAATTGGACAGAACTTTGAAACGAAGGGGAAAAATGGAAAATGCACTTAAAGGCTTATATTTGTATTTTAGGTGTTCAAAGAAGTCGCTTACAAAGCACGCTCTAAACATGACATCATGCTCGCCATAGACGAGTTTCTGATAAATTCGACACTGCTGCCACCCAGTGAATGGGATCCTTCCATTAGAATCGACCCGCCTCAAAATGTTCCAGCACAGGTACGGCTCGCGAGGAAAGGAGAATATGTTGATGAATGAATATCCAGACTGTAAAACACATCGAGAGGAAATATTCTGAAGTTGGCTTTGATTAAAACCTTTGTTTCAATATGAATCCTTGATTAACAAATAAGGATGTTATAATAAAAAGAATTCTAAAATGTAGTGCGCAAACAAGTAAAAAAGTACAAGTGGTGATGATCTTGTTATGGGCGGGCACCCCTATTCCATATTCTCAAATTCTGTTGCTTTAGTTATTTTGGACAAATGCTTTCAAATTGGCTACTAAGGCATTAAGAATGTCCTTTTTTTGTGATTTGATGGTGGTTGCCTCTCATTTGACAAAGAATGTTTTTGTGTGATTTGATATTTGTTACGACATAATTTTAGACTCAAAGGAGGAAGGCTGCAAAGACCATATGTAACCTCGATCACCAGAAGCATATTCTGCCAGACGACCAGCATTCTGACTCGGAGGACGAGGATGAGCATGCGCGGGAAACCGGTGTGTCCGAGGAAATCATGTTGTCCAGGACTGGGAAGTATGTGAATTCATAATATAGAAACATACAGCAATGTGAAAAATACGAAAAAAAAAACGAGCCGACTTGACAACATTTAATAAAAGTGCCTTGAAGTTTATTCATTTTTTATCTTGCTCATATTGTGCCCCTACAGATGCTATTCTCTGTCAAAAAATAGACCCTTTAAGTGACGAATATCCATTTTCTTTATGTAGATTATTTGGCGGATTGGTTCAAGACGTTAAAAGAAAGTGGAGTTTTTACGCAAGTGACTTTAAAGATGCGCTGCACGTGCAGTGTTTGGGGACGTTCATCTTTTTGTACTTTGCCATGTTAGCTGCCAACATGACCTTTGGTGGATTGCTGGGGATAGCGACAGAACAACGAATGGTATTTCTCTCTCTCTCTCTCTCCTAATGTTCAACCAATCAGCACGTACTTCATATTGTGTAGTGCTTTGAAAACTACAGATTCTTTTCAATAAATCATTATTTAAAAGTTATTCTACATAAAAAGACATTGCATTTTCGGTAATACAAAATCTCTTAATTAATGGACATTCATCAATTGTCTTTACCTCAGGGCAATGTGGAGAACCTATTGGCGGCAGGTTCCTGTGGTATTGTCTACGTGCTATTTTCGGGGCAGCCACTCTCCATTTTGGGTAGTACTGGCCCGTTTTTGTTGTTTGAGGGGTTGTTTTATTCCTTCTGCGTGTAAGTGAATTTGTTTTAAGCCCTGTAGGCCTACTTGGTAATTGTGAATTTCGTTATGTGATAGTTTTAAAGGAAACAAAGACAAACAATTAAGAGTTGTCGTACATGTATTAAGGAAAAACAGTCGATTTGATTACATGTAACAAAGACATAAACTTTCAAAATAAACTTTCAAATTTTTTCAGGGAGAACGGCATTGATTACTATCCCTTCCGGTTTTGGGTAGGCATGTGGACCTGTGTAATCTTACTGGTAGTGGTGGCATTTGATTTTAGCGCCATGGTGAGATACATCACAAAGTTTACGATGGAGAGTTTTGCAATGTTGATTGCCATCATTTTCGTATTTGACGCTTTTGAGAAGACATTCAACATCCTGAATGAGGCACCATTCAAGTCTCATACCGCACCACCGGATGCTCATTTGTGCGACTGCGTAAGAAGACTCAACACAAGTGACGTCATCATTTCGAGCATAGATAACGTCACAGCTGACGTAAATGGTGTCATCAAGTTTGATCCAAGCGATGTTCTAAAGAATGCCAACTACAGCCTCTATCAAGAGCTTACACATTTTCACGATGTTGTAGTAAGTGGATGTGATGCTTTGGGAGGTCAGTTGGAAGGGGCAGAATGTTATGACCATACTAAGTACAAAGCGGATGTTTTCTTGTTTTCCACCTGGCTTTTCATGGGAACTTTTGGCATTATAATGGCTTTGAAGTCTTTCCAACGTAGTGGTTACCTTCACTCAAAGGTAAAGTGTACTAAGTTTACTAAGTTTTATTCCTTCTAGAATAAAATCATCGCAATCTACATGTACAACTTCATGTGTATGTCTTACCTATTTTTGCCCACTGGTTGGTAGATTAATGTAGCACTGATAAAGTACTGCCCGAATAACATCTATATGTTTAAGACTGTTTAAGGTAGGTATCCTTACAATGAAGGATATATTTGATAGTTTGGGACTACCCTGTTGCTCGGTTTGGTAGCATAAATGTTTAGCTTAAACAAAATTACAATAGATGAAAGGATAAAAGCGAAGAGATTTTGGTCAAAATATCGGTATGCTGATTGTGTATTGAAGGTCTGAATAGAGTTTTGTAAGTTGTTCTGTTTTTAACAGTGATTGTTTACTTCAGGTCCGCTCTCTGCTGGGTGATTTTGCTGTCCCCTTGGCAATAGCAGCCATGGTGACACTGGACCGACTGGTGGACATAGAGACACCAAAGCTCAAAGTACCAACGGAGGTCAAGGTAATATCAAATTGTGTTTCCACTCAGTAATATCCAGTTGTGTTTCCACTCAGTAATATCCAATTGTGTTTCCACTCAGTAATATCCAATTGTGTTTCCACTCAGTAAATTGCTATTCTTGTTTGTTGTGAGGTTATTGACTGCAAACTGTCCGTCGAAGTTAATTTTTCAAAAGATTTTATTTGAAATTGCTCTTTCAAGTTTTATAACAAATTTGTCCAAAGGATTGCCATTTTAAAGAGGAGAATTATTCAGTGCACCGAACTGACGACGTCTTTTTTCCAGCCGTCGTACGACCGCAGTTGGATTATAGATCCCATGGGCAAAAACGCATGGTGGACAATCGTTGCCGCCATCTTGCCGGCTCTTCTGGTGTCCATTCTGGTCTTTCTGGCCCAGCAGATCACCTCCGTTATTGTGAACAGGAAAGAAAACAAGTTAAAGGTAAGTTTTCTTGAAACATATGTATGGATACAGAATTTCATGTTGATAACTAATCATTTTAAAAGATGCCTTAGAAGGACAAGTGGTTGCAGAGCCACGTATATTTTGTTCTTTCAGCCACAATCTAAAAGTCTCACTAACCCTTTTGTACATCCACTGTAAATTTTAGCCATTTTAGAATTATTCACAAAATTCAAAAATGGCGATTTTTGAGAATAATTAGATTTGACTTTCAGTAACTTCCACCTTTGAGCAATCATATTTACATTTTGGAGCCGTATCACTGTTAAAGAAGTATACTGTGTACTTTTATTACAATTTTCATTACTTACAGAAAGGCGGCGGCTACCACCTGGACATATTCATAGTAGCTATACAGATTGCTGTGTGCTCGGCCCTGGGCCTTCCCTGGATGGTGGCGGCGACCGTGCGGTCAATGTCCCACGTCAACAGTCTCAAGATGACCAGCGAGTGCAAGGCGCCGGGAGAGAAACCGACGTTCCTGGGAGTGAGGTGACCGTTTTATCTTGTTTTTAGTTTGATATGGCTGCAAAAGGCTCTACTGATATCAGTGGAATGTGTTATATTGAATATATTGATAACTCTGACTGTCTAGTGACCTTATTTTAACTGCCCTTACTGTTTAATTTTATGCATTATTGGTGTTGTGCCTCTGCATAGCACCTATAGAATGACATGATGTTCTATGTACAAGTAATGAAGGCTCTGCTCCTTCAACAGAAAGCTTAAAATAATTTTGGCTCGGAAATTTAAAAGAAGTCTTCAGTAAAATGGAAGTAATCACTGATAACCCTTGGATCTTCCTTTCTACAGATCTCTCTTTGAACCCCATCGCGTCTTTAAAATATTGAACAAATCTTAATCCGTATAATCCAGGATCTAAATACGCATGTTAAGCAAGTTCCTTTCTAAAAGCACGTGTAGGTGTATTATCTTGTCTGTTGAGTAATAAATATTGCGATTTTTGTACCCAGGGAGCAGCGAGTCACCGGGTTACTGGTCTACACGGTTCTTGGTTGTTCTGTCCTCATGTCGTCGTTTCTAAACGTAAGTACCATTAATATACATGTATCACAGGCGTTAGACACTTCAAAAAGGCTTGAGTACTCAATGCTCTGAAACATATATTTCGTCCGATGCAATATTATGTATTTTTTATTTGTAATTGTCTTGCTTCTTTCCTTCAGTATATACCGATGCCCATTCTCTATGGCGTGTTTCTGTACATGGGTGTATCATCACTGTACGATAAAGAGGTAAGTTGTAAAGGCGCTAAGTTACTGGCCATGTCGAAGAATGCATATGGACAAGGAACCTGTCACCTTTCAGTTTTCCAATTCAAATATTTGTCAATTTTACCGGTACAAAACGTTCTACCTAGCTACCTCTAAGTGCAAAATATTAAACCCTCAGTTCTGGTTTTACTTATCGAAAGTCGAGAATGGCTGCGTATAAGCAGCTATAAATTTTATAGTAATTTGACTACAATTCTTTCATGAAACTTGCAGTAAGATTTAAAATTTATATTAAAGAACCTCATTTATTTCACTTGATGATAATCCATTATTCTACTAACTTCAGGTTGTGCAGAGAGTCCTCATCATGTTCATGCCCCAGAAATACCAACCGGACTATATGTTTTTGCGCCACGTCAAGACGCGTCGAGTTCACCTTTTCACCATCATTCAAATTGTGTGCTTTGCACTACTTTGGGTGGTGAAGTCAATTAGCATCATCTCTATGGCGTTTCCACTTATGGTGAGTATAACTGGGAGGTCGTTAAAGGCTGATATTCTGTTAAGGTGGATATTTGAGACAGCAATATGTGGCTCAGTGAATAAGAAGAGTACAGGCGAGATATGGAAGTTAAGCTTATTTTATCTTTATTATGATACCTTCAGTACTTTCCACAGTTTCAGAAATGGTTCTATTATAGTTGGTGAATCCTATATTTCTGTTTTATATTTGGGAAAAAAAACTAGAACATACATGTAAGTAGGTGACAGTGTAAGGGTTTATACAAAACAGTTTTGAGTTATGATTTGGGTGCTGTTATTGTTTGTGCCACAACGACCAATCCCCCGTTCCTTGCATCTATGAATGTTTTCCATCCTCTGAAAACATTCATGTCATCCTTGTCTAGGTCCTGCTCATGTGCGTTGCCAGGAAACTGATGGAGCATATCTTCAACATGAGAGAACTGTTCTGGCTGGACAACTTACTGCCAGAGTCCAAGTCGAAGGCCAAGAAGGTATTTAAAACTGTACTGCAGGAAACTAATGTGGACGAGCGTTAAAGGGATAACAACTGTTCATTTTGGCAAAAAAAAATGAATTTTCCTGGGGAAAACAGCAATTTTCCCATACTTACCAATGGATAATGAATCCATTTCTACATTCAAAGTTAGTCCTTGTTTTTTTTTTTCTAAAAAGTTTTTCAATAGTCTCTTAAGAGATAATTACAGAGTATAACCATCTATGGAGGCCACGTGGTCAGATGTCATGCACATATTTCATATTAATTACTGTAACTGCTGTTTTTTTTTTTTTTTTTTTTTTTTTTTTTTGGTAAAATAGAAAATGTTATATTTCTATGTGTTGTTTACAGTGTATTTATTGTGATATATAGATCTCATAAGAAGAGTTGTTATTCCTTTAACAATTAACCACGTACATCAGTAGTAGGAAATGGTATACAGAAATAGATATTTATAATTAGAGTAGTAATAAGAATCAGCGAAATGATTATAATTATAAAAATAAATAGGAACTTGATGCAGATTTGATGTTTCGAATATTGTTACCAAATTGTGCATCTTTTCACAGGCCGAGGAAGCTAAGGAGATGGAAATGAAACAGACAGAAGAGGCAAAGCAAAATGGAACAACGGTGTCAAATGGCGAAGCCGTTACTGATACTGAAGACGAAAAGAAAATGAATGAGGTGGTCGTAGGCATTGAGAGCAGCCGCTTATGAGTCGTCTGATTGCACTGCCTGAGTACCATTTAAATTTAAAATGTGAAAAGACAAGTTTTTACTAAAAAGAGTATTGTTGTCACAATTCAGTTCACATGCCGCTTAATAACAACCCTTGGTATGCTTTTAAGTCGATGGAATTTCGACCCATGCAAAATAGTTTCCTTTTTGCAGTGAAAGGGAAACGGCAAATGTAACCGTAAAGTGGATTCTATTTCAGTGTAAACAGACCGGAAAATGACACTTTAAAATATAATCTGAGGGTTTACATGTCAAAAAGAGAATGCATAATGTCGAAGTATAATCAAGAAAACGGAAAAAATGTTATAACGATTTTGCATATACTCCATTGAATTCTAATTAAAAAGCATTTACTTTCACAAGTTCAACACTAATTAATATTTTTCACTCTTGTTCACCCAGATGATTAAAATCATAATCATATGAATTTATATAATGCATTATCATATTATTTGGTGATATATACATATAGGTCATATTCATTTAATTCAATAAAACTCTTTGTTATGTAGTTGACACATTTTATAAGTTACGCTTTTTACCATATGTTATATACAGTGCTAATTTTGTCTGGTTTTGCGCGAGTTTATTTCATTAACGGTTTTGGTAACAGAACTGAAACTTTGAATATCAAGATGTGCAGAAGGCAGGGTTTTCGTGTATGCGTGTTATGTCTACGTTTTAATATATTGGGAACATATTAGGCTCCTTAACCATCATTTTTTTCATTTGATTAAAGATTGTAATGTGTAGCTTTCAGTTAAAAGCTAACACAGTAGTTGATTGATCACTAGATTCTGTGGAGAACCAACATTGGCTGGTGTTGTGGTATAAGAAAATTGTAAATGTACTCTACATTTGTATCTTAACCTGTGCACTTACATGTATGATGTAGTTATGTCACATTAACTTTCTCATTGCGTTCATATTACGCATTTAGCCAAACTGGAACACATTGGCGTACAAAAAAGAATAGAAACTCGTTTGAAAATGTTTTATTTTTGTACTCATCAATAAAACGCAGTGTGCAAATGCATTTTTAAAAACCGTAAAAAAATGAGTATTATTAGAACGTACACTGTTTAATTCAATAAAATAAGCTATATTTTTCTTCAAATGTTATATGAGTTAATTTCTGCATGCATGATAAAGAATATGAAACGTTCGCCTTTCATATGCGACACATCTTCAAAGGGCTTCTATTTACTTCATGATGAGATGGTTCACTCTAAGATTGGAGATCTGAAAAAAGGCAGATTTAACCTACGATCTATTCCCATTCTACTGCAGCAGGTTTTTCTCCAAATATTCTTCAATTTAATTTTACACATCTAATCATTTATCCAAAATATGTTCATAATAAAATATACCTTGTGTATACAAAATATATTTGCCAATGGACTAGGCCATTCCTTTAAAGTGACAAAGTGAAGGTATTTAAATAAGGACATGTTAAAGGTACACCCCATCAGATTTACCTACCAAAAAGGATATTCCCGGGAAAATAAGCAATTTTCTCGTACTCACGAATCATTCCTCTATCCCTTTCTGCACTTGGATTCGACCTTTGATAAAATTTACAAAGGTTGATTTTAGCTTGAAATGACTGGCCAATAATTTTCCTATAAGCTCTAATGGAAATATCAACATCAGGTACTCTCCCAAAAAATTGAAGGGGTTAAATAATTTTTTCGGTGTATGTAAGTTTGACAAGAAGCTGTAGATGGCAAAATAAGCATTTGGGGGATTTTGAAACCCATGGAGTGTACCTTTACCACTTCGTGATGAACTAATCTGAGAACAAGTAATACTTTTTTTGACAATTTTAACAGTTAAATGCCATAAATTAACGTCGCAAAAATACCCAGATTAATTTTTTTGCGTAGGAACGTTTCCGCCCGTCAACCTTCACACAGTTTTTCATCGTAGGCAACCGAAAGTCAGTGCGAGAATATAGCTCGAAGGGATGATGATTTTGAAACACGATCGCTTAAGTGTGGGCTAAGGACTTTTTTATTTCCCCATGTTGTTGCGGAGTTATGTCTCGTGTCAGAAAAGAGGGACCAGAGGTTGGTAATTCAGAGAAAAGGGGCGTAAAAATCGCCCAAGAAAATCGTTAAGCATGAGCTTTCCACGGGAAAATCTTACACTGTACATCTTTAACTCAGGATTGAGCAAGAGCCAGCGAGGACCAGGTCAAAGGCCCTTCAGTTGCAGCGCAATCACCTGTCTTCAATCTCACTTGGTAAGACCACGGTCACATTGTTCTCTGTCTGGTTATATCTTTTTAATGGCGTTTGCTCATCTTGTTGGCAGTGGATGTTAGGTGTTGGTTGAGTTTATCTTTCTGCATACCTTTAAATAGGATTTTACTCTAGCCAAAACTGACAACATTGGACGGAACTGAATTTGGCGGCAGCACGTTTTCTTTAAAAGCGCCGAGCATATTTCCCGGCGGAAGATAGTTAGCTACGACATATACGCGTCCATCTTGTCCCACGGCTCTCCCTACACCGATTTCCTTGCTTCCTTTCCACACAACTTGAGTGAAATGGCCTGAAATAATAATAAAAACGATTATTGAACCACAGTTTATTTGCTTAAACGCAAAATAGTAGAGAAAAGTTTTTGTTTATTAAAAATATTATTGTTTTAGTAAAAGGAGCGCGATCGGTTTCCAGTGATTTGCGACCGAATCAAAATCTCAACACAGCGCAATCTCAACCAACACAATCTAAACAAGCACAGTGTTTAGTATATACCTGCCGTAAGACAACGTGACGCTGTCTTGAAGTCATATTTACTAATCTCACTGTACCACTGAGCGACAGCATCTTTTCCTAAAGAAAGGGAAATAGTTCATTGAAAAAATATACATCTTAATGTCATGGTTACATTCACATTTAAGTGAGTCGACTCATATACATCTCGATATAGTAAGAGGAATACCGGTAGGCCTTTTTCCCCTTCGTTGTGTTGACAGTGACAACCAAGCAATTTTAGTGGTTAGGCACGGTTAAACATGTCTTCCATCTGAAGAATTAGTTATATGTTTATATGAATATTGGGCATCTGAGAGATCTAGAGAAAAAAGGTAGTTACGTTACATCCAAAGAAAGATTAAAAAATAACATGACAAAATGATCCTGTGAGAATCTACATCTGCGACATTAGCAGTTTCGATCTAAAACGTTCAAGAGAAATGCTGCGTGAAAGAATCGGCAGTTACCTGTGTAGGCACCTCCGTCGCTAGACCAGCGTGTGGCCACGTTCTCTCCCGGCTTCACTCCTTTGAATGTACTTTTACTATGCTTCATGACGTTTAACTCCGCCAAGTGCTCTGCCCATTTTTGCGCGTGCGCAGATAGATCTGGATTATGTTTCAAGGGCGGCGCACCGTGTCTCGCTCTGAGGTGGTTGTGCGCTCGCACGCAGTCGTCTATGAATTCGTTGGAACTTTGCTTGCATGGTTTGGGCTTTGCCGGAACGTGGTTGTTAGACGACTCCCAAGCATTCTGTATTTGTGAAAGAGCTTTGACAATAATTTGCTAAAGATTAAAGCGAAAAATTTAATGTTGACCTCTTACTCTGAACTGGTCATGCTTTCTTGTTTAGAGCCTAGTAAAAACTATGACGAAAAAATTGTACACATTTAGGTAAATTTGGTCTTGACAGAAGACCAATTAGGGCTAGTGATGATATTGCACCTCTTTCATTTTAATTTTCTCTCTGTTTCAGATATTTTAATAGTTAGCATTATCAGGTTTATATTGGCTTACACATTATACAACTATTTGGATAGAAGTACAATACATGTTTGAGTATCTACAAATAAAAATAAACTTACCGTAGGTAGATATTTGTTCCCGGTAACGTCTTCGTCCAAATGTAAGTTTTTCAGTCTCTCTGACTAAAGATATAATAATTGACAAAATTATAGAACTTGTTGTTTCATAATGATTTTTCTTAAATGTTCAGATGATTTTTTCGACATTACAGTATTTCCCTACTTAAACTTAAGATTAAACATACCAACAGAGTTCTTCTGTAATATCAACGGAGTATACTTTGTACAAAACGCGTCAAAAATTGAACCAATTGTTTAGCTACAGTCTAGATGTTGTAAAAAACGTGTGTAAAAAACAACTTAGGTACGACAGAGACCATTCTGCAGTCGTTTTACCGACCTTACTCCTTGAACTATGCCTCGTAGTGTAATCCCTCAAAAAAGCCCGATTTTAGAGTGTATGTAGGCCTACAGGTACATGTTTAAGGTCAAACGACTACATCGAATCATAATTTTCAGACTGTTTATAATGTGACAAGACTTGCACTTAATTTAATGAAGTGTAGTTGGAAGTCAACCACTGGGTTGTTCTTAAAATACCCTACATTAGAAGAGCCGCCGCTATTCCCGAATAATAAAACGAAGGTGTTTCGACCTTTTAAGCTCTGTAAATAAAACACAAACCAATTTCCTCTAGAAACTGTTGTGGAAGGGTTCAGAGGTGACCTGTTGTCATGGAAGCATTACACAGTACCACAGATTGAAAAATATGAAAATTCTCTATTTGCATAAATGACATTCTGTCAGCAGTTTTAGATACTAAAACGAAATGTTAAATAAAGGTTTTTGAATATTGGAAAGACGTGGTGAGCTTGTAAGACTGTAAACTGTTATGTCTTTTCTGTTAATGAATACCACATGGCCCGTTAGGTCTTTTTCACAGTTTGTTTATTGCGAACTTTTGATGACTTAGGCGTGCACTTCCGATCTGTGCAGAGTTAGAGTAATTGCCCCTCTGTCATGTCAGAGATACATAGCTGGATAACGCGAAGACTAGAGAATTCTATTTTATTGATAACAAGTCAGAATAATCTTGCCACGTATAATGAAACGGTTGTGATGTAGTATGTGTAATGTGTAATACGATAAACATAACATGGGCTTTAAAGTCACGTTTTATTATTTGCAGTAGAATCAAATATTAAACATGTTTGAATAAAAGAATAACGTAAAAATTAAAGTACATGCCTGCAAAAGCAGTATCATGCAGTACAATACAGATCTACATTAACAATATATATTACACCACGCAATTTTAACTTGAATTTTCCATTTTCATGGCTCTTAATTCCAAATGAAGAATAAAATATGCTACAATCTAACAAAAACAAAAAAAAAAAAGAAAAAAAAAAACACTTCACGTGCCATTAGTAATACTAATCAAACTGTGATGTCTATAAAAAAGTTAAATTGATAAAACAATGGCTGCCAACAGAGTTCATTCTTAAATTCCTAAAAGATGACAATGCTAATTGCATTGGTAGGACAATATATCATATTGAAATAAAGCACATTAAATTTGTAAATTTTAGTAGGATGTATCTTCATTAAGGGTAGGGGTAAAGCGTAGGCCTACTTTTCATCCGGTATTCATCAATGCTTACTAAAAGTTAGCAACTAAGTGTCATTGGGTTAAAAACCGATGGGTAAAAATTCTTAATAAAACCCTTTTACAAATGAACCTATACATAATTGACATGTATCAGCATTTTCAGTCTTGCAAAGTTGGTGTTTCCCATATACTTTTCACTGCATAGAGAGGTAATAAACCGCATCTCGGCCAAACTTAGTCTTGTTCCCGGTCAAACTCACGCTAGTCATTTATTTTTATGTAAAATTACTAATGTCTTTAAGCGGTCTATTATAAGCTTTCTGATTTGTCATCAGACTGTTACATTTCCCTCGAAATGATGGAACGAGTCAAATAAGATGATCCAGTTAAAGCTACTTGATCCGTTCTGCCATTTGTTTCCTCCGGATATTTTCCCTGTCGGCCACTTTGTTTTATGAGGGTAGGTACTACACCATGCCGCAGTGTTTTAGTATATAGCATTCTTTTCAGAACTGGAAAATAAGCAAAAGCATGCAACTGGTAAGCCGTTAGTACAGCAAGTAGACTCGAGTGAGCGGGTTGTTAAATCAGCCACATGTATAGATATTGACGATCTGCACACCATGAGTTCCCACTTTTCGTTTACGATTTCCGTTCTCGTCGTAAACGCTTTTGTGGGCTATAAATGAGAACTTCTAACAAAATAATTTCTGGAACCCAGGGTGAATGCAACATTGACATATACTAAAGCTTTGTTTTGTCTCGTTGTTAGTATAAATCCAGATAATCAACACACAGCACATTATACGTAACATCAAGCATATCGATAAGTGGGCATGCAAATAGTTGGGTAGAGTTGCAAGCAATACATATATATATAGGCACATTTGGATGTCTAAGAGGACTTTTTCTCGAGTCTATATCTTGTACAGATTACGATTGTAATCTTGAACATGTCGTTAGGTGTAATAACAGCACCGCAGAAATGCAGGCATTTTTTTCAAGAAAATAAACGGTTGTATAACAATAGCTGTGATAGACATTGTGCTGTATCATGCACTTATTTGTTAAAAGGCGGTTAGTATTTTGATAAATAAAGAAACTGCACAGGAAATATCAGGAATTTATCAGCACGTACCTCTCCCTTCCTGGTGACCTTGGTTGTAGTGGTCTCTTTCCCATTGATCGTCTCTTTTGTCGTCGTAATTGTTTCACCATTCGGGCCAGTCTTGGTTTCAGTGACAACCATCCTGGAGACAGTTTGAGGACCGCCCTGGTTGGTTACAGTGCGAACAGTTCTGGAAAGAGAATCGTTGTATTACTGAACGTTTTCCAGGTAAGTTCCACTTTGGGAGTGACTCTTCCTGCAGGTTTCAATCTTACTTTTTTCTTTTGGACTGATAATAATCAACGCCCCTGGTTGGCAAGGTATGTGTTTTCAGAGAGTGTCAGGGAAATAGAAATTGCTGGTATCTGCGCTGACTTCAGAGCTCTTGCCCTTGTGATTCTAACTATCTGACCGCTATTATATAGGCATGCAGCCCGCAGCTTCCCAGAAAATCAGAAAAAACGTCCTGAGAATTTGGCTGCTCTACCTGAATGCGAAAGAACTACACAAAATAATAAATTTTCACTGGGAACTTGAAGCTGCGCACCTGGGAAAACTGTTTACCGTAAAACATGCTTTGTTTGTGCCTATATTGGTATCTCACCTCCGTCACGGCTATTTCAATAAGATACAACTAATGGTCACATATTTTTACCCGACCTTTAACATTTTGCTAGCAAGTACGAGAGTTGTCCGCTAACTTCTTTATTGGCCACCATCTTATTTCCATATTTAAAGGATACACAGAATATTACAGGGATTTAAGACTCACATGTTGCTGTTCCTGAAACATACTTGTATTCTACCAATGCTCTAAGTACAGTTTACCTAGCTAAAACACTTAAAACAGGGGCCTCTACATCATTTCCTGACACGCGAATACTTTTTTAAAAATATGCCAAGAGACTATAAGTGAGAAATAATAATAACAAATGTGTTTCGAAAGACAAATTCTTGTTCCGATTCTGAACCAGCAGAAATGAAATATGAGTACTCTGTAAACAACATATGCACAGGTGGCAAATAAGATGAAAATCAAAAGGCAAATACTTCTTGTAAATTACTTCTGATAATTTGTGTCTGTCTCTTCTAGATTACATACCGCAGTGAGAGTTTTCTTGCAAATAGCCTAGCAGTAGATATGGGTTAGGCCTATTTACAATACCAGGACTAATATGTCTATAGAACAAACATTTTGAATGTTTCGTAACTGAACGCTCTCTGCATTACATCATATACATGAGGCATTTCGTCTAGGGTCTTTTCTATTTCCCCACTTTTCATTTTCTACTGTTTGGGTACTTAGTTTCAAAACTGTTTTTTTATCCAGTAGAATAAATCCAAAAATTTAAAAATTTTACAAAATTGGATATGACAATAGAATACACGGCAAAGGGGTCGTTCAGAATGAGTTACTGTGCACTAGATTGTTTCCAACGCAATCGTATAATCAGCAGCTTCTCTGTATTCTCCTCAACGCCAGGAGGAGGCGTGTTAGTCTGTTAAGCTGACTGCGTTCAGCAAGAGTCCCTGTTGAGATAGTGCACACTCTATAACTAGTGGGCACTAACTCATTCTGAACGGCCCCAATGAAAATACAGCAAGAGGGTTATCAATCAAGCTCACCTCTGCGTTGAGGTTGTGGTAGGCATTGTCTTTGTGTGGACGATCCGCGTCATCCCCGAGTCTCCTGGACTACCGTCCGCTCCTCCAAAACTTCTGAATGTCATAGGTTTAGGTTCTGAGAAAAAATTGTCATATTTCTGAATATCATATTGAAGGACAAATGATGTGCTATGCGTCGCGCAGAAACGACGGCGCTTTACTTTTTTAACACAGAACTAGCGCAAAACATCATTCTGACAGCTGTATCGAGTCATTGTGTTTTCGGGCAGAATCATTGCAATGTGTATCATAACCTACCTTCTTTTTTAGGCAGAACGATGGGTCCGTCTGGCTTGAATACATTGTCTTTAAACTGTCCCATCATATTGCCTGCTGGACGATAGCTAGCCACCACGAAGATTTTGCCGTCCTTGGCTTTGGCTTGACCAAGTCCAACTTCTTTGCTGCCCTTCCATACCACCTGGGTGAAATGTCCTAAAATACAGACCCTCAGAGTTAATGTGGATATCAAGTTTTATGAAGAAAAACGAGGCTTTTTTATGTATAATATTAGAACAATTTTCTTGTATATACATGTAGAATAACACCACCAAAGGAACTTAAACATATTTCGACCATTTTATCTTCAAAAATGCGTCAGATGAAGTTTTCCTTTCTGAACAAGGAACCGATGAAAGACCTGTTTAATCAATTATACCCTGGTAAATTTTATCATTATCATTGAGGATGAATTATGAAGCAACCGACGAGACCATGAAATAAACGGTCTCTCTTTCCATATTTATCACAACATTTGCAGGGCACAATGTGCAGTTTCCCACAAACCCAACGACACATTAGAAAGATATATATGACTAAGGCTCTAGGCATAATTCTTCACACATTGCTTAAGTCCTTCATGTCTAGCAAACCGAATCACACTGGTTTACCATTTTCGATGACAAAAAAAATAGATAAATAAATAATGTATATTAATAAATAAAAACATATAGTTAAGTAATCAAAATAAATTATCCACACCGTTTTCAAAATAACACGAAAAACAAAGCTAACCCACTTTCACGGACCCAATAAAATACTAGAAAGACTACACAGGTGCATACTAATATATTTTTAATTCTATCACTGATTATAATTAACAATCTAACTTCTAACCAGCAACCTGAAATGTTCATCATCTCTATTATCCCACTGGTGTCATTAAGATGAAAATAAGAAAGTACAGTAGTCTTCGGCTACGTTGTCTTTAACAGGAGCTTTTAACTCGTGCGAGTGAAGAATGTGTCACCGCATGACGAACCTTAATTCCTATCTCACCGCAATGTCTTTAACATTATTCAGTGTGCCCATCAGGAACTATTTAATACGTCATGTTATCTGACATTATATGATGTAAACATGTAGATTCCTTTACTGCTAATTCAATAAAAGAAATAGGGACTTAATTCATGAGACATTTCACTTGTGTCGAATACAGAATGGTTTTAGTCGCTGAAGTACATAAAGCGTGTTTGATTGTAGTCTTAATTATTTCCATGTCACTCGTAATAATCTACAACCTAGATATATAATTTATATATTCAAAAACTGATCCCGTAATTACAAACAGCGATCGCTTCGCAGCTGAAATTGAGCAAAGGGAGGACGTGACACTAAAATAGGATTCAACAAACAAGTTAACCCAGGGACGGATTTAGGCCGTCTTCTGGGTCTTCCGGAAGACGGTCATATTTTCAAGTTTACATTGACGGGTATCTAATTTTTTCTTTTGGAAGACGGTCAAAATTGGAGGACGAATCAACAAAGATAATTTGGAAGACTGTCGGTAAATAGCTCTAGATCCGCCCCTGTTAACCAGTTCATTTCTTTTTGAAAAAGTAAGCCTCGCGTGACAGTCGAGCAGACATCATAAAAACCTAATTCACACAGGTCATGATTTGGTGTCATATTCAGCTACTTGTCTTACCTCCGTACATTCCGCCAGGTTGCACTCTCCTAAAATCCATGTCGATTTAGAAAACCTTTTCTGTGTGTTGAGAACAGTAGTATAGGATTTCCTAATGGTATTGTTACGTTTATTTATTGCAACATGTGTAATTTCGGAAGTGACTAATTTTTTAACGACCACAAAAGGGGTCAAGGCTTGGGGATCGTGTCATGTGATAAGGAAAAAAGGAAGCGACTCTGTGAGTCAGCGCATGTTTCTTATTTTCCTTGCTCAACTATAAAGTATGTTTGAAATAAAAACCGAACTGTATCATATGTGGAATATCCAACGACGTGTGAATTAGTGGATACATCATCACGAGCTATGTTTACTATATTATAAATCAGTATTATAGGATCAAAGGGGGAAAGAGGCACCTGTTCCCTTCGGCTTTCTTTAAAACAAACTTAGCATATATGATACAATGTTACGAGACTGAGCGAAGCCAACTTTTTTCTTCTTGTCCCAGCCACCTGCTTGTGGTAGAACAATGGCCCCTTTAAAGGGTATACATGTACATGCTATGTAGGCAGGTTACAGAGCCTACTCCATAAAATTTCACCGTAGAAACCTTTTCGTATATATTCAAGCAACGCCGCAACTCCCTTTGTCGTTCTTGTTTTACGGTGTACACGTGTAAGAAACCAGAAAAATACAGTTGGTTTATTTTGGCAACGACCATACAATCTAACGCGCATTCCCCTGCAGGTAAAGTTGCCGATGTTGATTCTGCTCGAATGTGTTCAATCTTATCTAACACAATGAGTGTTGCACCCAAAGAACAAAGACTTCAAGACGGATGTAATACAAGAATTGCCTTTCGGCCCAAGAAGCATACAAGGATTTTACCGCAATACCAAAACAGAAAACGTTAATCCCCCCCCCTCTCAACTCTCTCTCTCTCTCTCTCTCACCTGTTCCGCTGGAGAAGTCACTCCCAAATGTATACTTGGCTACTTCACTGTACCACTGGTCAGTCACCTGTTGGCCTAATGACAATAAAATGAGTACTAAAATACTGTCAAACTGAACATAAATCCGTATGTCTTTACACTGGTAAATGCAGAAAACTTGAAACGTCTAAGCGTTTACTTGATACACATTGAATCAGTAGCGTCTCAATTTTTTGTTAAAACTATTTTAATGCAATGGTGCTAATATTATCAATCACAATTTATATGATATGCCTCTATCATCACCTGTGAACGGGTCTCCAGAAGACGTGTACTTCATGGCGATGTTCTCTCCGAGACGCTCCCCTTTGTGCATGCAGTCACTGTGCCTGAAGTTTCCAGACTTGGCAATGTTGTCCGCCCATTTTTGGGCGTATTCACACAGATCCTTGGCTTTGGTCAGAGGACCGACCTTGTGTTTAGAGCGATAGACATTATGGGCTGCCACAGCATCGTCGACAAATTTAGACCCCATCTTGTGCAAGCGTCGTCTCAGATGTAGCAGTGGCTCAGATGTAGATTTTGTTTGGTGTTCTGTGAGAGAAAAAAGGCATTTTAATATTCAGCCCATGTATGCTAGGTTTACTACATGAGCAGATCGATGGGTGAAAGAGCACATGTCCAGCAAACACAGTATTGACCAAAAGTATCGCAACAATAGCAAATTCTGAATACTGATGTAATATCCTATCCGAAGCGCAGTTGCAGTGCATTAGCAGATTCATGCAGTGCTGTAGAGCATAAGCCGATTATCTAATCAATATAGTTACATTGAGTATTTTGCCAAGGTAAATAGATTTCTTTGAGTCTGGTCACTTGTGTAAAACTGATCGAAGATATCGATGCCATGACCGCATATATTATTTTCGCTAGGCCTAAATTATATTTTAGTATCATATCATCCACTCCGTAGATAACATTATTTAATTACATCCTAAAAGCAGTTATATCATCCATTTATCCATTTTTGGTTTGACGTATGTAGGTATTTTTTTCTTTTTGTTCAAAATCTAACTGTACATCATTTTTAGTTTTAATCGCCATGACTTCAAAACAATATTGAAATTGTCAATGCAATTATCATTAAAACTTTTACGCTAGCTTGAAAAATGAAGAATGTTACTTATTACTAATTATATACATGTATATTTAAACAGAGATTTTTTACATTACAATAACGCCATGAATAATAAGCCTCTTATCATATCACCTTTATCTTCGGATTAAGACCACCTCTCCCTATCACGTTAATCCAGGCTAATATAGCACTGTCACTTAAGAAAAATGACCTACAAAAAGTTCACGCTCATTTTAAAGGTTTTTACTTCCCACAAGAAAACACGTCACACGTTTCCGATTTGTGTCACCTGAGCTTTTGCGCTGTCATCGCTGCATCACCTTTCCTTTTAAGTCACCCGCATGTCATCATTGACACTGGTTTGTTCTATTGTTACCACGGCCTTTCATACCAGTGTCAAGAATTCAGATGTGGAGTCGCCAGGGTGCATTTATTTACGGAACATTTTTGTGGGTGTTTTTTTCGTTGATATTTGTTTGTTTATTCGGATACCCATGGGTGTCGTATCTGTCCCTTTTTGGAATATGACGTCATTTTTTAGCATTGTGATATGCATTGCTGACTGATAAATTCGGAAATCATGACACTACTATTAATATCGAAAAATGGATATAAAAACATTGGGGTTCTTTTTATCGCAAATATCTGTGAGCATTCATGAGCTGACAGAACCTTTAGATGATTCTAAAGGACACTGCCAAATTGAAAGTCTGAGAATAAAATGTAACATTTCACAAGATTAAATACATCTTGGTTATATATAAGTTCTCGACAGTTAGTCAGTGATAGTTATCACTTGTATACAGCCTACTTTTTGCCTCTCATGTTTGTGAAACTTAATAGTTTATGCTAATTTTATCAGGAACATGTGATATGATGAGTCGTGTAATTATTGTTTATCATGTGTTCAAGCGAAATGCGTTGTATTTTTGAACATGTGAGAGACGGTCGGCGGTCAGGCGGGGTCAGGATCAAGTAAAAAAAAAGAAATCGCGCTTCTTGTAGGAGAGAGAAGGAGAGAGAGAGAAATAGGCGAATTCTTTCTCCACACAAAGAAACACACGCGTGCGCGTACACGCATGCAAAGCACGCACACACAACTGTGAGACCAAGGGTAAACTCTATATCCTATTCAGGAATATTGATAAACTGGATTAACACTTTTTGAGAGGGCAATTGCAGCTGCGACCGTTAACATGTTGATACATGTATACATACACGATGTAAATCAATTGCTATATACATGTACAGTATATTAATAAATACCACACACACACACACACATTGTAAACACAGCAACGGATTTTTTAAAGGATAATTAGCTGACATCATGGGAATCGTGCATAATAATTCTCTCACGGCTATATTTCATTATATTGTTATGACAGGAATAGTATACCCTCAAAGTCACAATGTCACAAAGTTCATATGCTATGGCTTTTTCACAGAGACCTAGATCTCTTTCAGTTATGACTCAAACATATGTAACTGCTGTGATATGCTTGAAGCAGATGAAATTAACCATGTCCTGTAGTAACCTAGCAAACAACGACCAACCATGTTTAAAATAGAAATTAATGAATGTCTCATAATCATACGTTTCACATGACTTACCACGCCACTGTAACACGTGTCGAATCCGAATGGTACAACAATCACAAAAAGAGATTGCTCTGTCGCTAATTAAAACTATTGTTATGTACATATGTTATGTACATGTATATACAGTATATATGCCGTATTACTTACGAAAACTACCAGATCTGATTGTGAAACCTTTTTCCTGTCCTTCTGCGCCATCCGTGGTTTCTATTAAGAGTTTCGTTCTATTAACAAAGCAACAACGGATTTTTTTCATCGGAATATATCTTTCTAGAATTCATGACTGCAGGCAGCAATTTCAAAGGCAGGGGTGGGGTGGGAGTCTTTTTCTGAAAAGTGGATCTTTTATGGCATAGCACCAAATTTGACTCAGAACGGGCCTTTTACCGGCCAAATTGGCGGTTCCTTCGATCCTCCATACCACCCCCTCCCCGCCCAACCTAAGGACCTTCAAGATAATTTGACTATTATACAAAACGTGATGAACGTACCTGAAATATACGTACTGTAATAGCTGTCTAGCTTTACCTTAATCGTATGAGATTAATTCCTGCAGTGGTGATTTAAACGTTCAAAAAACCAACCTGTTGCAGTCTCCTTCAGTTATGAATAGTACTATCATCCCTAGCCAGGATTTGATTGTCGATATGTGACGTGGCTAAATACCTGTTTGGGTTGGGGCAAATCAAACAACAATCAATGATACACCTCCGCAATGTCAACAGTACAAAATAGCAATATAATATAATTAGCTATATAACTGTCAAATTAAATATCGGATACTCTTAAACCGCCCTTTTGTTAGTCTTTCCGCCCAAAACCACGCAGAAAATTCGTAATCTATTATCGTAGTACATGTATATCGACATAGAAACCTTTATCTCTGGAATGTCAGACCACACTTGGGTGGGGAAAAATTACGGAAAGTACGCCAAATCGAGTTTCCCCCCAAGGAAAGCAATTTTTCTTCTACTGACAAATCATGGCTCAACCGGTCCCTGCACGTGGATTCGATGTCTTATAATAATTCTTACTTAATAATTTGCTCTCAAATTAGGTTTTACTTGCCAGTCACTTAGACCGCCATGTTCTCCTGTGCATTTTAGAAAGAAATGTCGACATTAGTTTTTTTTTTTTCTTTTTTTAGGGGTTTTAAAGGTCCGATTGGAAGAAGATAAGTAGCTTTGCAGGATATGTAGACAAAGAAAATATAACTTTGGGACATTTTCATTTGAGGATCATATACCTTAACCTCGCAGGCGCATAAAACAGCATGATGCAAAGGAGACAAGAAGTTTACGGAACCTACGTGCGTAAAGCGCATGAGCCGCAGCTGTTGTCGTTGTTGGACAACATGCTTTTTTGATATGACAGATACGTGTAAATGTTATCCGTCTTTGCGGCATCTGTAGTAGAACGGCATTATTTTTTATAAAGTCATAGTTAAAAACATTAATTTTGCTGATTTCTTCAATTGTACATGGTTGTAGTTTTAAGAGCAAGTTTAAGGGTTTTAATAAGCCTTTTTTATATTATGAATTCAATATCCTTTATGACAGCACCATTTTGAGCGGGACTTTAATATTGAACAGATCAAACGTGTCGAAAACGAGATCTCTTTACGGAGAGGAGACTAGGCGCAACAAGACTGGGTCGAGATAACAACGTAATCCTGAGATAGGCATATTTATAGGTTGCCTCCCCTAGTGTCCACACTATTCTAATTATCTTTGGAAAATTTATCTTAACTGAACAAGGCTTTTATGGAACGAAGTTTATTTTCTATCGCCAGTTTTAAATCCTGATGAAATAAAAAGTAGGCGAGGACTTAACTTCAAGATAAAATAATTGGTAGCGTGGGTGTTCTATTGTACTTGAGCGCACATGTAGTTTTGTATGAAGTTGCTTTTTTGACGGTGGCGTTTTTCCAATTCGGAACTATTCAATAATTTCCTGTCTGTTTGAGATTTAGAGGTAACCAGTTACAAGTTGAAAAATCAGGGAGAGATAATGCGAAATAGAAACGTTTAAAGGGATAACGACGCTTCGTATGAGATTCAAAATTCCACAATAAATAAATGTACATATACATCGTAAACAACACTTAAAAATGTAAATTGCATATAACCACCAAAATGGCGATTAATTCTTGTATACGGCCATCGCGAGAAAGTGGACCGTATATGATTACTACCCTCCATAATAATGTCTTACCTTTGGTAAATATGGGAAAATTATCGTTTACCCCAGGAAAATTCGTTTAATGACACTTTTCCTTCCAAAATGAAGAGCTGTTATCCCCTTTACAGTGGCTATGGAGAATAAAACATAGAAAACGAGCACAGACATTAGAATACGGGTTTTAAACAATTCAACAATGTAGAAAAACGATGCTGAAACGAAATAAATACGAAAGATTTATCAGATGGCCAAGGTTTGAATTCCAGATGAAAATAAGGCCCCATCTTTTCCTTCAGGGTAAGGCGGGGCAGGGGAGGAGGAGGGACAAGTCATCTCAGAATTAGGCAGCGTGCATTCTCGCCCGTAGCTGTAGCTGTTGTGAGAACTTGGTATTGTTTACCATTATAGTATGGAATAATTGATATGTTTTGATGATAATGATAATGATAACCTTGGTGTTATGTATAGAATTCCATCCATATTGTTTTATAGACAAGCACACGGAAGCTAAAGGTGTAGCCTACGTGGCGTGAAGATATCTTGATAATGTAGATGTTGTACGTATTAGTCTTCCAAAATGTTCTCCAAATTACTAGTTCATCTTCTTGGTTATTCACAGGTTTATTTAATATACATGATGATAAAAGGTACATGTCTGAGAGAGAGAGAGAGAGAGAGAGAGAGAGAGAGAGAGAGAGAGAGAGAGAGTTTCAATGCATTATTCTACGACGTAGTAGGTTTAAATATTTTTACTATGCCCTTTTTCATTTCAACTATAGTTGCATTATAAATTCATAACGATGACATGTATAAAACTGCATCAAGTATTTAAAAAAAGAAAAATGTAATTAAATAAAAAAAGGAAGCTCTTCGATGCCAAAATGACGCTCTTTATCATACTAGTACATTTGTAACTAGGTCGCGCGTAATCAAGTTTGCCACTTGATCAAATGTTTATGACTTCGTAGTTCATGAAATATGTAACCTTCTATTTCGTGTTTGGTATGAACAAAAACAAGCTAGTGATAGTCACCAAGAAGACATCGTGTTATCGCGCGGCCACTTATGTTATACATGGTTAAGAAGGTCCAAAGAAAAAATATTGCTTTTCTACACCAGTGAACAATTTATCATAGCCTTGATTTCATTTGCCAATTAAATGCAAAATTATTGAAAATAAATATACTTATTTAAGTTTTGGTGAGGTGCTATTAGTAAGTCTTCATTGCTTTTTTTTCTTTCTAATAGAACACGAAATATTAAGTTGCTCTTAGTGATTGGACTGAACTTTCTGCTCGAATTCCCATAATCTCTAGTTTCCTTCGGGTTCTCTTCTACCCGTTGACATATAAATTAGCGCTGCTGTAGTTATCATATGGTGTATGAATATATCTCTCGCGGTTCACGTTTGTAACGTATAGGACGACATTCTTTTCTTGCGTGGTCTTACGTGCACTTTTTTTTTATATATTCATTGATTGATGATCAAAGTTCAGAGTCATAGAAAATCTTCTTTAATTATTTGATTTCAATACAAAGATAAATATCGACGGTTACACAGAGATCGCAAAGAAAATAAAGAGAGAGTGTCAACTCACCTCAGTCAGCAGTCCTATCTTTGATGTCCTAGTCAAACGACGATCTTCCTTCCTTCATCACGTGACTGGTCAGAGTCAATTATGGGATAGACGTGGTGTTGGAGTTGTTACTGCTGTCTTATAACGATGTTTACATAGGGCGTGTGCATAGAGTTGGGAATTAGGAAAATGCAGTTTGATGATAAGGTTTATTATCTGGTTGAACCATTGACCGAAGTACAAATACATGGACTGTAAATTTTATTATCACCCTCTTGAATATTGCAACATGATTTTCATTTTTTTAGTAAATTTTGATTAAAGGCGGTGGCGCACAAAATCAAAATGCATGCCTGCTTCATGTATTGGCCTTAGAGTGTTATCCTAATTGCAGATATTTCGATGAGGGATAATAAACTGAATAAGGGCTATTACCAGAATTGAGTTGTCCCTAACGAGGGTGCCGCCCCTAAGTATTTACGCATATTCTTTGTATTTTACTATTGGTTCGTTTTGTTTTCAGGTATGCTATTAGCCATGAGTCTATTAATATTACCAATGACACGCTGACATATAGCGCACTGTTATATTGTCAAACCTGTGCGATATACGTTAATATTGATAGATTTATATAGAATTTATCTCAATCTATGAAATAATATGCATGATAAACCCGCATATGTTGCTAATGGCAACATGCTAACGCCCACAGCATCGCTGGAGACTGTGTCAGTTAATAACAGTTTCACAGCTGTTGCATCTCGTGTTTATTAACCTTAAAAGTTTTTCACAGTATAGAGATCTATCTTAAGTGACAGTAAGGGTGAACATTGCTTTAAGACATCAACAAATACTTTCTATAAATATTAATTTCCCAGAACTTTTCGACGAAGATTTAAAAAAAAAAGAGACATGTTTAGGGCCTATTGGCAGTGTCGCTGTAAGTAGGCCTATGCCAATTTATTCCCTATAGGTAAAAAATATACAGGGAATAGAACGAGGACTATCAAAGAAACATCAGAGATCTGCAGTGACAAATAACGGCTGAAAGAAGTGATTTGTTCGATCTTACTTTGTGTAGCCTACTTGTTTCTTTTATGGTTCAATATACTGTATATTCTCTTATTGTTCAATATTTAGGCCTATATATTTGTATTTACAATTTACATCTTCGGGGGATCCTTATTCTTTCAAAATATGTCGTGCTCTAACTCTTCAATATTACTACCTATGTCTCCCTATCTCAACCCCCCTCTTTCTTAACGTATGCGTATACATAAGTGTGTGTGTGTTTGAGTGGGGGCATCTTGTGGATGCGTCATTCTGTTACTTTAGTTCTATCACAAAATTTCATTCCATCTAAGATCGCTGTCCAGGTATAAATTTAAAGTACCGCTATGTGTAAAGCGCCTATGGACTTTGTCAAGTTGTATACCACAGGCGCTTTACCGACCAATGAAACTGTTGCCAAACTACTATGGTTGACAGGAAGATGAAGAAGATGGCAATAAAACTCCGTAATAAATCCATTGATTCGGAATGACTGAATGTACCTTCACTTTATAGAGACGGTACTTTAGGATGTCAATTTGATCTATTTTATGCATTTAATTTCATCCCAAAATTACCTTTCTTGACTCTGGGATCTAGTGATCCACAGTTTCTTAGCATATATGATATTGGTACTATCAGCATAGTTATCCACTCTGAAGGGCTAACATTATATGCCTGGTACCGTAGGTCTGTATATTCAATATCGAAATGTGCAAATGCCTTGAGCGTGCTGGTGATACATCTGTACATATCATATCATCGTTACTATTGATATAATGATAAGAGCCGAGGAGAGTAGAGATGTCCGGACAAGTTTACACATACTCCATCAGTGTAATTTGAAAGGTAAATCATGAGATAAGACCGCGAATATCGCGAATACGAAGAGAGAGAGAAAGAGAGACTTCCGTATTAGTCATATTAAAGATGAGAAATATATAATGTATTAAAATACTTTTCAAAAGACTGTAAATCCAGTATATTGCCCAAACACTTAAAATGACATATGTGCCCTCATTTCATGTTTTAAAAATTAACCTAGTACTAGTGGGTTTTAAATAACAAGAGCGACCTCAACACACGCGTAGACACGCAAATTTTCTCTCCCTTTGTCGGATAAAGGGTAATGAAATTATTGATTTCGGCATATCTTTTAAAAATTACCCGTGTTTTTGTACGGAAACGGGTATTCAAGGGCAGTGAGTGGCGAACTTTCGAAAGTTGTGGGACCATCGTGAAAATGTTCCGCGAAAATCCTATCTCCGTAACGATTTTGACAAGTCTATGTAAAGATAATCTTGCACTGTTGCACGATCACCCCATTCTTGGACGAATCGTTGTTTTAGTCCAAGCTGCAATCCACAAAACAGGAATTTTACAATGACATCTATGATATCGCTTCTGTCTACGGGCTTAAGATTTTAAATATTGTCAAAAGTTCCAGTTTGACAAAATCGTATAGCTGCGAGCACGAGGATCCGTAAGAGTTCACACGGTCACCACCTGCCTTCATTTCATGCCTTAGAAAAAGAGACATTCAGGCAGAATAGGGAACCAAACTGACACTGCATGAAAAATTTAACTGTAGGAGCAAGTTTGAAAATTTAGGTGAATTCTGTGTATCTTAAGGCTACAACTGTGCTAGTTTCGCAGTCTTTGCTTCCAAATCACTAATGACAAGCCATAGGCCTACCTCCTGGAACTTACAATTATTGATTTTTTCCTTCTTTTACCAATTTATCTTGCTATATTTTTGTCTTTTTCCCTTCAATTCCCTTTCATACACAGGGTTTGCTACTGTGAATCATCCATGGTATTGAAGTTTAATTTGAACGATATAAAGGGATATATATATATCTTAACTTGTTGCAAGTGTGGCAATTGATTTATTAATGTGACCAATTTCTCATGAATCTGAATTCAAAAAAATTAAAATCTCGTAAAAAGTACACTGGCGGTGTGATATAAAGAATAAAGAATAAAGAATTGTGCGATTGCACCAGTTTCGATTGCCGACAAAAAGGATTTTTTTTTTTTCACATCTATCGCAATCGCCATCAGGTTTAAGCGACACTGCAGCACGCCCTTTTGTTAATCTTGCGGAAAGTGATGTCTTCATTCTGTGACAAGGTACATTCTCAACTGAATAAGTTTAGATGGTTTATATATGGTATGTGTTTGTAAAATTTTGCTATTTTACTATAATTTTTGCAATTGTAATTGCTGTTGAGTTGTTTTACTTGCTAACAATCAACCGTGTACGCGCGTAATGCCTTATAAAAATGTCTGCCTCCATAAGAACCTGAACCTGCAAACTTATTCTGTTCTCTTAAATTAAATACTATCGCCGGGGGGAGTTTTAGGATCAGAAGGATCCTGAAATGGAGCAAATGTCTGTAGAGGATTTTGTCTGCAAATGTTCAGAGCTGTTAGAAGAAGAAAGGGGAGCTGAAATTGAAGAAACGAGGTGATTGTCTGCTTTGACTTTGCATCAATTTTCGTTCTCACATATGTACCGTTTTTTTTTTCACTTGCGACTGGGCTCGTTTTTTCAAGTTTGTTGCGTTGTATTGCACCGTATTGCGCAATTAAGGGATACCCTCCCGGGTTCGATCCCCGGTCGAGATAGGTATTTTCTCCCAAAACGCTTCAATGATGGCAGCGGGCCGGGTGACACTAAAATGCGCAATGTGCCGCAAGCATCATACTGGAAAAAAAGCGAGTCCAATCGCAGTTAAACACGGGAAATCTGCCATTCCTAACAAAAAAGGTGATTTAAAAATTGAAATATATTACTATTGGCATTAAATGCCGTTGATACAAACTAACAAATCGACACAACTTGTTTATCGGCAACTCGAACGTTTCGGTAAGTGGCTCTTCTTTGCAATAATTCTGGTCGTTTGTAAGTGACAAAGTGAGTTAAGTCATTAGACCCTAGTAGAGTAAATGTTTGCTTGGCAGCACTAGCAGAAGTAGTATGGTTCATTGTTTTTGTAAGACAGTGACTGTGCAGCATATGACAGAGATGAGAATCATATCTACTAGTACACAGTAGTTCTGATTGTATCTAATGAATATTATTGATATTGATATTATGTCCTTATCACTAATACTTACACTTACAAATATTGAAGGCCACTTTTTTTTCGCAGAACAACTTGCAAGTTTGGTTCTGTTAAATCTAGAGGTTCATATGTCTAAAACTAAAATTATGAAATCTGAATTCAAGAACTACTGTGGATGAGCCTTGTCTCTAATGCAGCATACTTTTCAGAGTTCTACAAGAGAATGTGTCACCCAAAGAACTCCAGAGGCGTGGCGTGTGCCTCCTCAAGCTGCGCGTGCAGAGCAGGCACACAGGGATGTATGGGCGAAGCATGCTCACAATGCAACCATTTTGGCCTGGAAGTGAACTTCCATCACACAACCTCAGTCCAGGTAAAAGGAACTTCCATTTTACAGCCTTAGTGCAGATAGAAGGATCGTCTAATTTGTACAGCCTCGGACAAAGTAGTCCAGGCTACGTACTTGAATATTTTTCAGCATCAACAGCAGGAGCATATACCATTACTTTTGTTCACAAAATCCCCCATACTCTAGTACTGAAGATGATATATTTTTCAAAACTTTTCATTTGATGTTTTTGATACTGAAGGCAGTGAAAATGAAATTATACTTTTTTAGGTGACATAGTAGGTATCAGTCCATCATCTGGTGACCCCCGGGTAGATCAGATAGCATCCGGCATAGTGTCCAAGGTGGGGCAGAGCTCCATCAGTGTGGCCTTTGAGGAGAGTTTTGACAGTCTGCAGGTTGAGGATGATACACAGTACAAGCTGATCAAATTAGCCAATGATGTCACTTACAGGAGGCTCAAAAAGTTATTGCCTTTTAATTTTTTGCTTGCCTTTAAAATAGTTCAGTTTGCTTTTTAAAATAAATTGTCATTTAGCTATGTTGAAAAAATATTGAAATTTCACAGATGTTCAAAGTGGACACTGGTTTTATTAGCTTTTTTCCATGTGTAACATTTAGATGAATATCCAGCATGATTTTATTGCAGAGCCCTAGAACAACTGAATAATTACAGGACAGGTGTAAGTTCACAACTGATAAACATACTGTTTGGAAGTGCTGATGTCAGCATACCTTACACTGGCACATCTGGAGGTGGAGTAAAAGGTAATTACTTGCTTGAATCTTCAAAAAGGAATGAATGAGGCTGTATCTGTGACAAAAAATAGTAAGTTAGATGGGAATGCACTCTTCTAAACCAAAAGTATTGGTATAAAGTAGCCCTTGAAAAAGGATGAAATAAAATTAGATTTTAAAACTACCTATCAATTTTCCAGATCTTGCCTTTATCAACCCTCACCTAGATGAGTCCCAGCAAGCTGCTGTGGAGTTTGCATTAAATCAGAGAGAGGTGGCAGTGATACATGGACCCCCAGGGACAGGAAAGACCACCACAGTTGTAGAGATCATACTACAGGCTGTCAGGCAGGGGATGAAGGTTGGTGTTTACTTTTTTTAGGTCTATTGTTGGACATACTACCAATAACAGAGAAACGCCTGAAAAAATATTCATACTTAAAATGCATAAAGTGTGTTAAGAATTGACAGTCCTGTTATGGAAAACTCTTATTGTAAGGCATTATGTTTGTGAAAGACAATTATAATAGTGTAGTAAAGAACAAACGCGGCACTTTATTTTAAAAGTCACTAAAATTACAGTCAAGACTGTACATGAACTGTAACATTTTGTAATGAATGGATGATTATTTAAAAGAATATACATTTGTCAGCACTATTTATTTTACTTTCCAAATTAGATTTTAGCATGTGCTCCTTCCAACATTGCTGTGGATAATCTTGTTGAGAGGATAGGTGGTGCTAGTAAGGCTAAAGCAGTTCGTCTTGGCCACCCAGCAAGAATATTACCAGGTATTCAGAAATATGCTCTGGATGCCATCTTGGCTACAAGTGAGGAAACCAAGTTGGTAGAAGATGTCAGGAAAGATCTCGATATAACATTGGTGAGTGGGGCAAAATGAAAATTTAGTGAATTTAAGTGTTCTTGGCTCTGTAGTAATGTGTAACAATTCTTGGTGCATTGATAATGAATCACAGTTTAATCTTATCTCCTGTGATGTCAGGGTAAAAGACTTTCCTCCTTTTGTGTAAAAGCTGGAGACTTAAAAAGATGCAGAATTTCATATGTAATGTCTAGCATTGGGAAGGATTTAATGAAAATGCAAATTTTCCCTCTTTTTAACATCCTGTCCCATTCCTGTACATCCATACTATGTGTCTTTGTGCAAAAAGATTTGCTATATTTATGATGCAAGACATTAGTATCACTTTTTTAGACCAAAATGAGGCGAACTCGCAACAAGGGGGAGCGACAGTCAATGAGAGAGGAGATGAAGTATCTGAGGAAGGAGCTTCACCAGAGGGAGACTGCTGCTGTGCGAGAGATCCTAAAGAGAGCAGATGTTGTGCTGGGGACCCTGACCAGTGCCACCGAGGATGGACCCCTGAAACATTTAGATGACCAACACTTCGACCTAGTTGTCATTGATGAGTGTTCTCAGGTATAGAAAAATTTGCTGGAGACAGCTGCATAAACCCAGTTTCTCCACTAGTAGTAGACCTGATAGATACAAGATGTCTGAAGAAAATGTGTTTAAATAATGGTATAGCATGCAATTTTATTCAATTCCTAAAGTTGTATCATTGAACAAGTGTGTGTGTGTGTGTGTGTGTGTGCGTGTGCGTGCGTGCTTGAGAGAGAGAGAAAAAGAGAGAGAGGGAGGGAGGGAGGGAAGGGTAAAGTGAATTAACTAACAATTGTTGTGAATGGACAGAGCATTTTAAAAGCACCTATTTAACATTTATTCCAGTCCCTAGAAGCTGCCTGCTGGATAGCTCTTCTGAAGGGACCGAGGTGTATCCTGGCTGGCGACCACCAACAACTGCCTCCCACCATTATTTCACACAAGTGAGTAGGATTGGCATGTACTGTGGTCCTAAATGGTTTAATTCTTATCAGAGAAATTGAACAGTAAAGGAAGGAGTTGTTTCACATTTATCATTTCTGCCTTGTTTAGTTTTATTTTTCAGTTTTAAAGATAAGATATATTAACACTAAAAATGTAAGAGCAATTTCGGCACACTAAAAATGTGACAGGTGATGATCTGTTATATCTTTCTCAGAATTTCTTTAGACTGTGTATGCTAACTTCTACTCTGAATTTTGTCATGCCCTCAGACCTGTCTTTCATCAGATTTAGTCTGTATTAAATACACTCACTATACAAACTTGTCACCCAGGGCTACTAAGGGAGGGCTAGATGTCACTATTGTTGCAGTCACTATACAATCTTCTTATAACAACCAGGGCTGCCAAGGGAGGTCTAGAGGTCACTCTAATGGAGAGAGTCCTGAAGCTTCATGGAGACAAAGTGATGAGAATGCTGACAATGCAGTACAGGATGCATGAGCTGATCATGAACTGGTCATCAGAACAGCTGTACCATGGGAAACTGGTGGCTCACGAGTCTGTGGCCAAACACCTGTTGAAGTAAGCGCTCACATGACTCATTTGAAAGGACTGGGATGAGGATTATTGTATGGATGCTAATGCTTGTGTCAGACTTCAATTTACAGTTTAAGCTCTGGTTTGTTTTTTGAAACATAGCAGCAATAACAAAATGGTTTTGATAATTTTTGTAATGCCATTTGAAAATTAACTAGAAAATATATAATATAAGCTGACAATTAGAATATGATTATAGTTTTCAATATGTCAGGCGACAACATTGATAAGTATACATTTTATAACATGTTTGTTTTTTAAGATAAGTTTATATTCCAGAGATTTGCCAGGGATAGAGACCAATGAGAACACCACTTTACCATTGCTGCTGATTGACACAGCAGGATGTGAACTCCTGGAGCTAGAGACCTCAGATGAAGTTTCCAAGGGAAATGAAGGTAGACAAATACTTTCTAATCGAAAGGTTTTGGAAGTGTAAAACTTTAACTGTTAACATCTACAATGCAATAATTATTAATTTCTAATAAAGAAACTTAGTTTACATGGTTAAATCTCCCAGGTTTATATTTTTCTGTCAGATTTGTTAATTTGAAGCAAGAATACAGTTGTATTTTAAATGTGCAGCTGTAAGGAATAACACTTGTGTTTTGCAGGTGAAGCTGGCTTGGTAACTGCCCATGTGGAATCTCTGATAGCCAGTGGACTGTCAGCAGAGGACATAGCAGTGATAGCCCCTTACAATCTACAGGTATAGCACTTATACTGATAACATGATCATGATATTTTACATCCTGAGAACTGATTCTTCATAATTCTTTAATTGCCGAAATTGATTTCTCTAGACAAAATTTCTTACAAACATGAAAATTGATTCTTAAGAGTCCCACATCATCACAAGGCTAATAATAAAGTCAGATTTTTATACTGCACAATTGAGGTTCGTTATCCAGGTTGATCTTCTCCGTCTTCGTCTGTCTGCCAAATATCCTAAGTTAGAAGTCAAGTCGGTGGATGGGTTCCAGGGCAGAGAGAAGGAAGCTGTGGTCATTTCATTGGTCAGATCTAACAGCAAAGGTATGAAAGAAAGGGGTGGGGGGACACATATTGATGTTGGTCATTTCTAGTATTTCAGATATTTCTTTTCTGATCAGATGTAATTGAGACATTAATTTGAATAAAGTGGTAATGTTGAAATGTGAAAACAAATGGTCTTAAAAGATTTACACGGATGTTGTGTGAGCCAAAGTTGAACAACTCTAGTCTTATTTTAGATACATGTACGTGAAATTTATGAATTTATGCCAGAGGACTTATATTATAAAATAAACTATCACAATTATTATTTCATTTTAGGTGAAGTTGGATTTCTAGCTGAAGACAGAAGAATAAATGTAGCTATAACTAGAGCCCGGCGCCATCTAGCAGTGATATGTGACAGTGAGACAGTCAGTCACCATGCTTTCCTCAAGTCCCTGGTGGACTACTTTAACAAACATGGAGAGGTTAGAAGCGCACATCAGTACCAGAATGGTAAGTTGAACATTTATGTCCAAATGAAAGATGACTTTATTATTTAATCTTAGTTTATTTTATCAGTCTGCTGCATATGAAATTTTAAAGCCAAAATATTATTTGTATACATCCTCATTGTTGTGTGTGTGTGTGTGCGTGCGTGCGTGCGTGCGTGCGTGCGTGTGTGTGTAGAAAGAGAGAAGAGTTTCAGTTAGAATGTATTTATATTTATATATGGATTCTATGTATCAAAACAAACTGAGGGAAAAAGAAACCCTCCCAACTGATAAAGCCACATGCATTATTCACAGTAGAAGATGCTTTTAACTTAAAATCAAAACAGTTTTGGTTTCAATTTACATTCATAAACATAGCAGTCTTATTTTGAATTGTGCTATATTTCCAGAGCTGGACCTGTCTAGTCACTATGAACTTCCAGAACACATTCAATCATCCATGACAAAAGCAAGCTCTGGAAACACATGTAAGGAACAGAAAGAAAACAGTGGTGCAAGACCGAAAGCAAATCAGGCAAAGAAAAAGAAGGAAAACAAAAGACCAGGGACTGCCTCAGAGACTGCTGGAGCAAGACCTCATCTGAGTGAAATCAAACAGTGAGTTTCATTGCTTGTCATACTGTGTTGGACTTGTGGAAGATAATGCCATTAAAAAAGAACAGACAAAATAAATGATAATATGTAGGAAATGGGAACAAAAAATGATGTCTTTTTATTTCAGTAAAAATATACTCTTTTAACCTTTACAACTCACTGGATAATTTACTTAATTTTTGATAAAACTGGACCTTGCCGATGAAAGACCTAGAAGATTAATAAAAGGGCAAGATTGGATTTGTGCAATACAGTTTAATACAGACCCAAACAAGTAATGGTTGTGGAGCTGAATTTGCTCTGTAACTGCCTAGCTGTGTTGATTAACTTTAAATGTCACTTGACAAGAGTCTGCATTATTTTACAGACCTACAGATGAAGACAAAGAAGAGTTGTTGACTAGCATAGAGACAGAAATCATGGACTTCATGGCTGACCAGAACAGGACAGAGCACAGTTTTCCATCCTCATTGTCTTCAAGGGGAAGATTTGTTGTGCATGAGGTGTGTACAAACTTTGTACATTTTTGAGTTCCTAGTTTTGCCTTAATTATCTGCTTGAAAAGTAGTAAATTTCTACGTATGATTGACAGACATGTAACAGTGAGACTGTAAATGTTTATGTAGACATATTCTAATAGTTTAGTCTCTCATTTGAGTTTAGATAGCAGAGAGATTGGGTATCACCCACATCAGTCAGGGAGAAGGTCAGTCAAGGCACATCATGATTAGCAAACAACCACCTGCTGTCTCAACAGAAACACAAAGAAGTGACAGTGCCCCAAGTAATGTGCAAAGAGAGAAGGACAACAATGGTGTAGGAACCCGTGGTCAAAATAAAAAAGAGAAGAGAAACGAGGAATTCTGTAACAATCATCAAAGTCTCTCTTTGTGCTCTGGACCAGATGAAGCAATACTACAGCAAGAACAGCTAGCAGTGATAACATGTGAAAGGTGCTTGAAAAAAATACCTAGTCAAAACTATGAGCTTCATTCTCTTAGGTGCAGTGGAAGCAACAATGCAACAAAACCAGAACCTCAGAAAGAACAAAGCAAAACTAAAAAGAAAAACAAGAAACCAAAGAGTGCCAAAAATGAAGCCTCCTCCAAGGAGGCACAGGAGGAGGATTTTGATGCCCTTATTGCAGAAGCCATGACACTGAATGGTGTGTGCAATTTCCATAGATGTAAAACAAATGTGTTGACTTTGGGTCAGAATTGTGAATTTTGTGCCAAACGCTTTTGCCTTGCCCATCATATCCCAGAGGTACATGGTTGTGGTGATGCAGCAAAATCACGAGCAAGGATGTTGATATCGAAGGAAGGTGTTATTTATAGAGGAGGTGGAGTTCCAAACAAAAAACCAGACCCAGCAAAAAGGGCACATCTTCAAAGAAAGCTTGATAGCAAACTTCATGAATTTGAAGAAAAGAGACAAACTAAAAAGAAAGATAAAGGAAAGTGAGGTCTTTGTGGATGATATTAAATGCATTGTTATTTTGAAGCAAAGTTTCATTTTCGGTTTGCTTCCTTATTTTAAATCATTAAGAAATTTTTGAGTCAAAAATATTTATGTAACGACCAATAACATTTAATCCTTGCATAAACTGTCTTTATCCCCAGGTATTAGATTAAGTTATTAAACTTTCTCACTTAATCTATTTTATTTTTTGACAGCTAAAAATCGATCAATTTATAACTGATCCCCCTAGTCACACATTACTTCCAATTTTATAAAGCCCTTTGAAATACAAATTTCTGGTCCAATTTACAAGTGCAAACAATTTGTTCTCTTTGCAGAATCGGGTTTGCTTAGAGTTGTGAATTTTAACAGGTTTGATTCAATTCTTGGCAGTTATATGCAGTCAGACCTCTAAAATTGGCTAACATAAAAGTGATAAGATTTTGGTGATGATCCTGGTCACCATCTGGATCTAAGAGTATTTAAGCATTGCTTCACCATTGTAAGAAAGACCCTGTGACCTAGACTCATTGTGCAATAAATGTCCTCTCAACTACCACAGTTTTGTCTGTGTTAAGTTTTTTGGCAGAAGTCTCTGCTCCCCCACTGCTTTTCTAGTCTAAAACTAAGTTCTGTGAACGGTGAAAATTTCTGCATTTAATTTTTAAACAAATCTGGAGATGTACATGAAGAGGCAAAAATCTGCCTCCAGTTACCATCAGCCACAGAATTTGTTATAAATCAAGAGTTCAACATAGAATTTTATTGAGAATCACTATATACACTACAGTAATATTCAGTGAATATCACCAATTTGACATTTTTGGCCTTCTGAGGAAATACCTCTAATACAAAATTCAAAAGACTACATGTGAAATATTCTTAAGAAATGCTTCCTTGGAGCTTCCAGAAATTATCCAAAACACACCAGATATTACATGTTTCTGTGCAGCTTGCCACTGTTGTTCAGATGGCCTGCATGTGGGGATGCATGGGGATTCATACAGATTTTTCACATAGATTTACAAGTGAATCATATTTTCCTATCCAAGAACAGCATTCCTTGTGTTCACTGCAGACTCCAGTGTACATTTATAAGTTCAACAGTTTTAAACAATGCAGGTACACAATGTCACAGTTCACCAACGGTCAACGCGCTGCTCCCATTTTACTATTTTGATGAGATAATCATAATAAAAATTTGAGCATCATCATCATCACAACAGTCCCATTTGTTTCTCCACCATCATGTGAGGCTGGCCAGAAACTTCAGAGTCAGCTGGAGCTAAAAAGAAATATTTGTGTCCTTTAACAATGGAAAAATATTACCATTATCCCCCTTCTCTCTTGAAAAGACGTATATTATGGCAACTTATAATGTTAAATCTTAACCTTCTTGGATCACATAATGCTCAATAATAAAACCATTAGAAACTGTAATTCTTTATTTAAATTCAAGCACCTATAAATTATTAGTGACTTTAAACACAACTTAAAACTCTATACTACATTTCTTTTCCAATTGAAAGTGAAATACTGCACTCACAGTTGAGGATATCTTCATAGTCTATCTCCTCATCCTTTCCTGTTAAAGAGTCTAACATCACATGGGAACTTTGGAGGCAAGGTAACCTACCAATCTAAAAATAAAAAGGTTTCTCTTGGCTCCATTCTTAGAAATAGACAGCTGTCCATAATAAAGATTAAAATTTAATTCCCCAATCTCTTCGCTCTCCCGTTTCTAGCATCAGATATGCATGAATTTCCAAAAAAAAAAAAACTTGTATGAAGGAAATCCCCTAGCCTGCAATTTTGCATTAACTCCCATGATTGTTTGGGTGTTAATCACTTAAAATTACAGTAATATACATCAAAAACATTTGGCTTCACATTATAACACTTGTTTTAAAGCAGAAATTAAAGACAGCACCATGTTTGAAGTAAATGCAATCCATTATTATATTTAAAATCTGAACATAATGGTGAGTAGAATTCCTATAGTCTTAGAGACAAGCTGGTGTACCTTATTGGCAAAATTCCTTTCCATCTGTAGCCTAAGAGGTGCATGAATTCCCTGTACTTGTCTTAACATTGCAAAGTCCATCTTCTCTTGGTTGGCTCTCCACTGAAACAAACAAGCACCATTCAAAGATTTAGTCTCTTATCTATAGAGAAATACTTTTACAGAATCTGCACCAAAAGTCATGTATTGAATACTATTATCTTTATTTCATATCTGTGATGTTTTCACTCCCTATTTTCAAATGAGTTCAATACAGGATGCTGTATTAGACATTGCTTTCAGCGGCTGTTGGATTTTCTCTGATATTTAAATAATGTTAATTAGTGTTAACAGACATTGCTTTCAGCATCTACTTGATTTTCTGTGTTCTCTAAACAATGCTTACTGCTGATGTTTAGAAAGTAGATTACAACACAACAGATATCTTACCTCCTTTTCTGAATGCTCAAGTGGATGTGATGCTGTGAGATCATTTCTTACATTCTGAAACCTGGAATGAAAAAAAAAATGTCACTTTTTAGTAACCTTATCACGTGCTCTACATATACAAAAGCCAAGGTGTATAATATATAGACCATGGAACTGGCACTGTAAAAGTCAATCTCTGAATGTAGACAATGTAAACAGTTACTGTAAGTGTTGTACCTATCCAGTTTGTTGATAATAAATACAATTTTTTAGAATGCTGAACAACTTACCCCTGATATAGAACATCAGGTACACCATATACACCACCTTTGGCATTGGCAGAGTTAAGACCCTCTGGCCTTGGCCTCATACTTGGGCATCCTTCACTTGAGTTCTACAATCAAAGAAAAACACTTGGATGATTGTGCATATTCCAGGGGTGGATCCAGAGCTATTTTCTGAGTCTTCCAAATTATCATTCTTGGTCCATCATACATTTTGACCGTCTTCCGACAGAAAAAATTAGATGCCCGTCTATGTAAACTTGAAAATCTGACCGTCTTCCGGAAGACACTGAAGACGGTCTCAATCCGCCCCTGTATTTCCATCAATGACAAAGCAAACAACTGGTGCAAGTTTTACAACATTTATAAAGATGTTTTCAAGATCATACCCAACAAAACTGGGAACTCATTCTATTTACCCTCTCCGCGTGACTACATTGTCCCTAATGTTTGATATTAATTCACGAATAAAAGATGTATCAGGTAGCTATTGTCACGGTTTACGAGGTTAACTAATCATACGCACAAAAGTCAAACGCACGCTGTTTGATCACGGTGACAAAGCAAAAATAAACCATGAGTTTTAAGGCACATGCCAAGTAATTTGTACCATGACACGCGCTATGTGTGCTCTCTGTTATAGCAATTACAGCATTCGATTGTTTTCCAAATGATGCAGTTCCCAAACCTAGATTATTTGGAAAATCGCTACTACTGAACACCATCCGTAATGTTTTACCCACCATATTGGAATCTGTCAATACGCAAGACCGGAAGTTAGATGGAATTCAAATTGTCAACCCCTCCACCAAAAGTAGAAAGTGATTGTCCTACAACAATGAATGCTTTTTATTGATATTTATATCATCCTTTTTCATATATATCTAATTTTCTTTTATCCTACTTTATATGCAATCATTTATGTTAATGTTTTTTCTTTCTGTCCATGATATATACCTATACCGCGAAATCTTTAATAGGTGGGGAGAGTCCACAAGGACTAACAGCCGATAACAGTAATAGCTTAGATGAATCAGTTACAGGAAGTTAACTACAGACCTGAAATCGATCACACATAGTGCATAACATTAGATTAGGGATGCTATGGGTAGAAGAACATCTAGTTGTATAGAGGGAATCAGTTGATGAGATAATTAAGAAGCTATCACAAGGAATGTGACACTTAATGAAATGGAATTTACAACTCTCAAGGACGTCATGAAATTTGGACCATCACCTCGATTATCAGCTGTTTTACGGCTCAGTTTATCACTGATATTCTTCATACCCGTCAGCTCAGGTAGGTTGATGTTCTGGATTTAACTGGCTCATCTCTGAGGACAGTTGAACTCTTTTTGTGTCAAATTAAATTACCAAACGCACATAAATAGTCACATGAATTAAGTTTTACAAGACCCCAAAACGCAACAAAACTACATGTAAGTTACATGTGCCATGCCCACTTTATAAATTACATTATAAATTGGAAGCAATCCAACTCATAACATGGACCTTCTGCAGCTGACAGTTAACAGTCACCGAATACACTTGTCAGCAACCACATTCTGGGTAGCAGCAAGAATGCATTACCAAAAACGTTTATTTTTATCCCGGTACAAAGTTATATATATTAATTGTATTGCCTGCAGTGTATGATATCCAAAACCTAGACATTTTTATTGTGTGAAAGTACACCACACATCCCAGGATTTGACAATTTGATCAGAACTACATATAATCAAATCTCATTTTACAGCTATTTTTTTTATCAGGAAGGTTCACATTTCTATATACTTGATACCACATGTTGTCTCCCTGTTTTGTCTAGTGTACTCACATCATAGCCTAATCTACACAGAATGTACTGGCTTATTGTATGTGGCATCTAGTATTGTTAAAAGAAATTATTGATTTATGATGTTCTCTGGATGCTTGTTGTGAGGAATGTTATCTGTACTGTTGACATAGCCAGGCTCTAGGTTTGACTTTGTAGGCCATGTTGTCAGCTTCACTATACTCAAACTAGCATAAACAAGCATATAGATCTCAATTTACCAGATACCAAATGCATCTGTTAAGGAATTGCAGATGGTTATTTTTGGTAAAACTAGTGATCCTAGATTCATTTTGTATTGGAAAAACTTGATGCCCTGCTGAAATGTGAAGCTACCAGTATCAATAGGCTTGGAAAGTGGCATAGAGTTATATTACGAATTGAATATTGACAAATGCATTAACAATTACAAATCAGAGATTTAAAGGTTATTTATTTATTTATTTATTTATTTATTTATTTATTTATTGAAATTCATTATCAGGTTTATTTTAAGCTGATATATATATTTATCTCAGAGGCTGTCAGTGGGTATGGACTAGAGCTCTTGATTGTAAATAGTGTTAATAAATGTTTTAGTATTTGGTATGGTGTCAGTTTTTGCAGGTCAGGAAAATAGGAATTTTGTTGGATATGTGCTTCCTGATTTCATACTCTGCTAGGCAAGAAGTAGAGGAAGCTTCTACTTCACAGTTAAAAGATAAGAAACTTTGGGAAGTAGGTATCTATACATGTCAGAGGACATGTTGTCGCAACACATGGACAGATTAGTCAGATTATTTGGAGGTTTGTCTTGAAAATTTTGTTATGATTGCCAAGGTTGCTATAAAAATGAAATTATCAAGAATCTTGTTAATTGTAAATAAAATATACTGGTAAGAAAAAACTAGTCCTTTCTAATCTTTTGAATGCTGCCACTGCAAGTAGATGTTAACTCTGTGTATAAAGCATAATACCATTGATTTACAAGTACTTTTTATAAAGGAGCTTGTTGTTGTATATAATCTACTGACGGTTAAAGAGGAAACAGTCTGACAGTTGGGATAAGCTATCTGTAAATCATGATTTGGTGACCTATTTTCCATCCCTTCAATCTAGTGGTGAATGAAATGTCTAATACATGTACCAGAACTCCAGTGCAGTGTTGATCAATAGTCTTTATCATATATGTCTTCTGTATGGTTTTCAACTTGTGATGGTTATTTATTTGCATGTACACATACAGTTAGTATTTCAGGTAGCTTAGACAGCCTATAACACATACAAATAAAAACTGAATAAATAATTTAATCCTCCAGTGCAAACCCACAGAGGTTTCTCTTTGATACAGAAGTGTTTTAGAATAGCTATTCTAGCTATTTTGATTAGTGTAAATGTGATGGCATGATCCCTTACACATGAGTTTGAATGTTATGATGTGCTCAATCTCCAGAGGGATTTGACTATTACCAGTATTACTGTAAGATGTTTTCTTGATAAAAAAAAAGATGACCAAAAAAGATAACTTTTACAAACATATCAGGTTTCCCTTCATATTCTTTCAAGTGCAAGCACATATTTTTCTTAGATTTCCATATGCCATTAGGCTGTGGTTCATGATTGACATTTAGAACTGACCAGTGATGGCAACTTGAACCTCTGGCTTGTGCCTCAGCAGAGCTAACTTGCTGAGTTTGACCAATATTCTGTGGTTTATCTTTAACATAGACCTACATTTCTTTGCTGTACTCAGCAAGTGGGGCGAAAACCTATTCTCCACCCTGGTTGTTATAAATATAAATCAGGCATGTTAGATTGATAAAAACAGCTTCCTGGTATATTCAAAGAAATAAGTCACCGTCATGGCTACCACCTCCTTTTACTTGTAGTCTCTGGATCTTTGACTCTTCTGCATACAGAATTTGAAAATAACAGGGTTAATCAATGTCTGTACTCACTAGCTTAATAAATAATTCTAAAGGTAGAACTCGGAAGGTGAAAAGAGAAGTTTAGGCAAATGAAGATAGAGGCCAAATTATGTGTAGTTAGCAAGAACATATAGATATTGTCATTTGGTATAATTTGGTATTTTAACTAATAAGTTTACCTAAAGTTATTCAAACTCACTTTCAAACTTGTTTAAGCAAAAGGCAACCAGGCCTTGCTCAAACTTGACTCTTATTACGACACTGCTTTATCAGTATCAAGTAGAACAGAAGTGAAATTTATTTCATTAGAACATTTTCAGTTTGGCCCTAAATAGATAGAGTCTAGATGAAGCACCAGAGCTGTCTAAAATGGCTATTATAGATGAAATATGGTGCTTGTCTGGAAATGACAGGTGCCCTACCACTTTCCAGGCTACCTTGTTCAGTGTAATATCTGTAGTTACCTGGAGTAGTGTACACAGGTCAACCAATACCTGGGGTGTAAACAACACTTAAGAATAATTAAGTTGCACGGTATTTCTTAGAATTTACCTTATGGTTATTTTGTTATTGAATTTCGTCCGGAATTAAATCCACATCTTTCTTCACGATTACAAGTAATTGGTCCTGATTCCAACAATATTCAAATTGATGAATTATTAAATTTATATCATACTTTTTTTAGAAATCGCACTTTTCTTATTGATTTAATCTTCCTGTTTTCTAATATGTTCCGAATTTTAAAAGGTGTTTTATGTTATTTATAAGTAGATTGTCTGATACTCATTAAGTTTTCAATTGAACTGTACCAATGAGTAATGATGTTTGTATTGGACTTGGGATGACCTCAATGGCATGCATCCTGGTTCAATTTTGATTTGAAAAAAGAAAATACTAAACAATGGATTGGACAGGAAGGATGAGTCGACAGGTAATTTGTGTACTTAGTGAACCAAACTAAACATGCCTGTGAATTAACAGCTATATTTTCACTCACTGTTACTGTAAAGCACATATGTAGGTGGTGAATTAGGGATTGGGTTCAATTCAGTGTAGAGCTTCTTTATAACAAAGTAAATTCTAGCCAAATGCTAACATTATTCTGGAAAATCATTAATGTATGATTTTATACTGTTTTACTCACATTCTGCATTTGTAAATATATGTATAATTTAAAAATTTGATTTGACTGAAGTTTTGCAGCTACTAGTATTTGTGGTACCCCTATTCGCCAGGCATAAAGACATTTATTATAGTGTGTAACAAACACTATATGAAGTTGATCTCAGGTTTCTCTAACAGTATGAAGTGTTCTTGAAAACTGATACAACTGCCACCTTCCACAATTCAGTGACCAGCAGTGACCAGTGATCAGATCATGGGGATAGGATATCAGATGGCTCACACTGAATGAAAATATTCCCTCCTGTCAAGGCTTATCAGACTTGTGGATGTGAAAGGTTGTTGAATACAGCCATGCATAGTTATATGCAGGAATGCCTTACTGATAGTCCAAAACAAAAAAAAAAAATATGAAGTCTGTTTCAGTGATGGTTTATTTATATATATGTAGTCTTTACCTCAAATGATTACAATAAGGAACAATGGTATATCTTGCCAAGGCAGATTAGCACCCCTTCTCAGTGAAATTGATGCATGATGTTTCAGTATGATGGGGAACAGTGATTCAAAACTGATATATTGTTTCAATATCTGTGAATTAGGCTAATTTTTTCTTCCTTGTGTGCATAGTAGTGTTAATCCTACCAATTACTCAGCCGGTTGAGGTGGATTTCTTTGAACAGGTACTTGCACTCTGCATTGCTCAGATTTGTACCTGTGGGTGGCTTTATTTGCTCAGTTCCATTGGTTTTTCACTCTAATATGGAATGTAAAGGATGAGAACACATTTCTTTGATCAGGTACTTGCACTCTGCATTTTTGGTGCGAGTATTTGGGTGGCATTATTTGTTCATTGGTACTTTCTGTGTACAGTACTAGCATGAGGCAAGGAGGGGGATCAGAGCCTTTTCACCCTCAGGTACAAACTTATAGTTAAGAATTTCCAGAGATATTGACAGAAAATAGCCAAGTTGAACTGCCAGGAATGTGTAACAATAATAGTGTTAAGATTTCACAGTGACTGAAGTGTGCAAACATTAACCTAGGAAAGAGGTGCTCACCTGGAAAATGGAAATCCCTGGAATTAAATTACCTAGAGATATTTGTACAAGGCACTTTCATGCTTGTTATATTACAAACTTTGGACCGCCGTTTATGCAACTTGTTTAAAATATTTTCCTGGTGTTCGTTTGGTTCTGAAAACAAATTGTCCACTCGTGTCAGTTTTATTTCTTCATTATTTTTGCACTAAAGAGTGCAAAAGATATCCAGAATTTCAGAGTAGCAAGTCCTCTTTCTGCTACATTTTTCAAGTACACTAAGCATCTGTTGGTACTAGTTTGTCTTTTTAACACTGTAATCTGAATTGAACCATACTTTGCACTAGTTAAATAAATGTAATATTTAAAAGCCCTGTGCATACCTAAGGGTGTAATAATTACTGTTATGGAAGCAGATTCCTATTAACAGGTAGCACTGTAGATTATCAGTGATGTAATAGCCATGGTTAATGGAATTCCCCACTGACTTTTGACCAGGTGCTGATATTCAGGTTGGTCGCAATAAAAACTTCTTAATAAAACTGATGTCCAAAAGGGTGTAAATTATTGTTTTGTTTTCATCGTGTATAGATCAAATCATTTAAGAGATGTGTGATGTGTTTGCATCTCAGCATGTGTTGGTATTCAAGATACTTGTAGCTGTAGCTTTGATGCTAGCTGTAAGTACTTTATGCTATCGCCATTAGAATTTATGAGATTATAAGATACTTACTCCACATGTCTCAGAAAGATTAGAGTTTTAACCTTAAAGATTATTAGCTGAATTATGAGTAGACATCAGTTTTTTTCCTTTGCCTGAATAAGTCTTGTAAATGTTGTAATTTTAATACATATTACATTTGAGGAAATTAAAAAAGAAATTCTGTCCTTATAATTTGATAAAACGAACGTACAGGTGCTTTAAACAAGAACATGATATGCCATCTTTGTCAGACAGAAGTCATCAATTTGGCTCCCCAGTAGTTTTACCTGCTCCTCTTACACATGGAAAGAAGATGAATGTGTGTACAGTAATTGTCAACAAGTTTCAAGCATAAGTTTCAGTTATTTGATATTCAAAAATTCCTTAACTGTTTTATCATTTTTTAACTTACCAAAATATTCAGAAAGCTCTAATTATCATTGTATACTAAAATAATCAGAAATTTCTAAGTATAATATTTAAATTTTGAATATGTCTATTATGATATGATTATTTTGTTCAAATATCATGAGCATTTACCTTATAGCATGCTAAGTGGTCTTACCCAATGAAGGGAGGTATCTGAGTTAGTAATAGGGCCAGTGATGTTTACATGATAACAGTAAGGCTATTGATGTGTAAAGTATTAATGAAGAAAGGTATAAGATCAGTCTCAACCTAGTTGTAGTCATGATACAAAGCCTACATACCTGGTTTCTGAATATCATGCTCTATTTTCTTTGACCCAGATATTACACCTGGCATAAGAATAGAACACATGGTCCTAGCCGAGGGGGTATTCCTCTCCTCCTCCATCATTGGTTTAAAACTGGTTTGTCATGGCTTTCGAACAACTTTTTCTTATGTTTGCTTAACTAAGATTTTGAGATTTTAACTTGCTGATTTTTTGTTTATTTTAAATTTCATAAGTTATAGTGTATTTAAATATGTTTATAAAATGTATACATCATTTAATGATAAATTAGTCTTAGTAGGTGGATGAGGTGGACATTAATTTTTTTCTGTCCCTTTCTATACAGAAGTAGGTTTTTCATGGTTATGCCACAAGCTTACATGTATATCTGCAGTTGACTGTTGCTCCAGGCCCTATATTTTTGACCCAGCACATGATTAATTGCCTATATGTCCTGCAGGTTCTTAACCTTTTCTTCTGACATGTGATCCACTGCAGTGCTTACATTATTGATTTGCAGCTTTGGATATATATATGTAATTGTTCATTGGTGTCATTATGAAAGTGAAAGTGAGAAAAAGTTCCTATTTTCACATACAGTAAAAAATCATTTCCTTCTGTATACTGTGGTGTTATTTTGCAGTCTGCACCTGAAACCCTGTGCGTATATCAAGGGCAAGATTTCAAAATAAATCCTGGCACCGTCTTTTGTGTTTGTTTTATCCAAGTGTGTTCTCATGTTCAGTGCACTTGCCACAGATTAGGGTTACTAACTAAACTTTGTTTTGAAGACTGTGGGCTGTTTTTATTGTAAACAAAACTTATTAAGTCAGCATTAAATGTACTGGTGGTAGTTTACCTGAATTTACCTCCAAAGTATTATGAACTAACTGAGCCAGTGTTGAGGACAGTACTAGTAATGAGAAATGTGGTCGCGGCCCTTCTTATTGTCAATTACATTACTAATTGTAGCATCATCTGACCATAACACCACATAAAACTGTTTCTCCTGGTCACTTCCTCATTTTCTACGACTGTCTTCACCCTGGCACTTCTGACTCCATGTAATGTAATTACATTGGTGTCTTGATTATACTGACCAGAACAGTGATGTCTGTAAAACAAACAGACAGTGCATTGATTTCCTAAGGGCCAGGCACACCCACATATCTTGAAAGCCACATGTTTAATATGGTTTTTATGTAATGTGTTGCCTTTTCTTTCCTTTTTTTATCGGGGGTAGATTTTTACATAACCTACATATATTCTATACAGCATGTGGAATTGTCAGCACTTTGGAGGCTCATTCTAGCATTTAATGATGTAATGGAGTACTTTGTATGATGCAGATATCATAATCACACATGTTTTGTTGTTATCTAATTTAGATTAATATTCAAATAAAGTATACATTACTGGTTTTTTTTATGTACAAGTATATCTGCATTACCACTATCAGAATCTAATTTTTCTTCATGAGTCATCTGTTGTTTAATGACTCTCTATCATTTGTTATCTATACTATCAGCTTTCCTTGGTTACAACCAGTATTATGCCTACTTTGATAATTTTTTTCTCTAAGGCCTTTCTGATCTGGACAGTGCACATATGAACCCTGAAGTGTCTTATAAAATAAAGCGTTCTTTGCAGACCTTGGAACAGTTACAGTTGTGTATTTTTACTTGTATGAAATAAATCCCTTCATCAGTTCTGCAAGGGCTCTTAATTCTCACTCTGTAACAAAAAATGGAAAAAGGAAATGGGGCTTGGTGAGATAAGATTTGCCTGGATGGCTCTGTTTAGACTTCAGAGAAATCATGTAAGTCAGCACTTCCTACTGTGGGAGTGTTTTTAATCATTCACCTTGTGAAAGGAGAGACTAGGATCTGATTCCTGTGGTTCAATGCCAAACACAAGGAAAAATAAATGCTGATATTTTTTATTTTAATTCACTTTCTCCATAGGATTTTTTTATTTTGGAGAGGAGGGGGGAGGGCATTTGATTGCAAACAATCTAAGTAGATTATTTCCAGAGTGACTTTTTCAACTTGCAACTACTCTGCTTGAAAACTACTCTTTCTGATAGAAAAAGCAAGAAATTGTTGCGCTAGTTTGTACTGCCTTGGTTCTTAAATGATTGCATCCACTTTAAATTTATTCATCATTTCGTTTAAGCATAGTTCATTTTGAATTTCCTGACCTAGCATTTAAGTGTCACAAAAAGGAAATTACTTTTTTGTTATTTGTAAGGCTAATTCTCTCAGTAGGTTAATGGGAGTATTATAAATTCTAGAAATGAAAAGATTACTAATTGCATGAACACGCACCACAACCCCATTGCTGATTTAAAGATTTGGCTGTTTATGGCCTAGTACTTTTTGATTTTTAACAAAAAATGAATGACTGATGAATTGACAGGCATTTTACTTTTCTGTGGATGAAGTAGATTATCTTTATCTTTATCATTTGACTAAAGTTTGTGTTAGTGTGAGTGTGTTAAACCAGTGTGGGTATTATTTGAAACACATGGTGTCACTTAGTTCAAATAGTTTTTTAATGTATTTTATTTTCAAACCACGGAATTTAGAAAAAAAAAACATTTTGAAGATATGGCCATGTTGTCATGTAGATAAACTTTTGTATATTTGGCTGACAGTCTAGTAGGTCCTTAACAAGTGCCATCGTCAGTTTATTGTTGTACATTCTAGGAACCAAATTACTGTTCAAAGTACTTCCAGGATTTCTTGATTGTGCATAACATGAAGAATGATGCTTCTTTTGGGAATTGTTATTTGTATTTAGTAATAAATCAGTTTAATGATGTTCAGACAAGTATAGCATGTTCTTCTGTATTATCCCCGAGGTCAGATGACCAATTCTATTCCTTATTACAGTTCATGATTTTGGTTAATATCATGTAATTTTTATTTCTAGGAAAAGGTCACTTAATAGTCCATGATTAGCTTTATCTCCCATTCTCTGCATTCTTATCCACCTAATTAGTTATGATGGTGGGTCCCCATGCATGGTCACTCATGTTCATATATTTATTTCATTCCAGGAAATAATTTGCTGCTGCCTCCTAAGCTGGACATCGGCACCACAGAGGTAGTGTTCCAGTCAGAGAAGAACTTCACACTAAAGTGTATTGGGGAGGCTGAGATGGAATGGGTATACCCATCACACTCTGTAAGTTCATGGTGGAAGATCTCTTGTCAGTGAGACATTCTTTTGACCGGTTACAAATTGGTGCAAGGCCCTGAATTGCAGAGAAGTTTGATTCCAACTTGTTTCTCATAAGATTTAAAGCTTTTGATTGAAAAACTGCAAGCTTTGACCTTCAAAACAATTTCTCTTTTTTATTTTCACCCCAGTGAGCTTTTCTCCATCTTTGATGAAAAATGTAATGATTTTGATCTCTCTACATAGATGATCCAAAACATATGATGGGCATTTGTTGGTCATTTTGATTGATGGGCAGGCTTATTCTGTTGATTACTCTGCTAATTATTTATGGATTAAGGAGTGGANAAGAGCTTGAAAGCCAGGGGGAACACTGTGACCATAACACCACATAAAACTGTTTCTCCTGGTCACTTCCTCATTTTCTACGACTGTCTTCACCCTGGCACTTCTGACTCCATGTAATGTATTACATTGGTGTCATGTTGATTATACTGACCAGAACAGTGATGTCTGTAAAACAAACAGACAGTGCATTGATTTCCTATGGGCCAGGCACACCTACATATCTTGAAAGCCACATGTTTAATATGGTTTTTATGTAATGTGTTGCCTTTTCTTTCCTTTTTTTATCGGGGGTAGATTTTTACATAACCTACATATATTCTATACAACATGTGGAATTGTCAGCAATTTGGAGGCTCATTCTAGCATTTAATGATGTAATGGAGTACTTTGTATGATGCAGATATCATAATCACACATGTTTTGTTGTTATCTAATTTAGATTAATATTCAAATAAAGTATACATTACTGGTTTTTTTATGTACAAGTATATCTGCATTACCACTATCAGAATCTAATTTTTCTTCATGAGTCATATGTTGTTTAATGACTCTCTATCATTTGTTATCTATACTATCAGCTTTCCTTGGTTACAACCAGTATTATGCCTACTTTGATAATTTTTTTTCTTTAAGGCCTTTCTGATCTGGACAGTGCACATATGAACCCTGAAGTGTCTTATAAAATAAAGCGTTCTTTGCAGACCTTGGAACAGTTACAGTTGTGTATTTTTACTTGTATGATATAAATCCCTTCATCAGTTCTGCAAGGGCTCTTAATTCTCACTCTGTAACAAAAAATGGAAAAAGGAAATGGGGCTTGGTGAGATAAGATTTGCCTGGATGGCTCTGTTTAGACTTCAGAGAAATCATGTAAGTCAGCACTTCCTACTGTGGGAGTGTTTTTAATCATTCACCTTGTGAAAGGAGAGACTAGGATCTGATTCCTGTGGTTTAATGCCAAACACAAGGAAAAATAAATGCTGATATTTTTTATTTTAATTTACTTTCTCCATAGGATTTTTTTATTTTGGAGAGGAGGGGGGGAGGGCATTTGATTGCAAACAATCCAAGAAGATGTTTTCCAAAATGACTTTTTCAACTTGCAACTGATTTGCTTTAAAACTACTCTTTCTGATAGAAAAAGCAAGAAATTGTTGCGCTAGTTTGTACTGCCTTGGTTCTTAAATGATTGCATCCACTGTAAATTTATTCATCATTTCGTTTAGGCATAGTTCATTTTGAATTTCCTGACCCAGCATTTAAGTGTCACAAAAAGGAAATTACTTTTTTGTTATTTGTAAGGCTAATTCTCTCAGTAGGTTAATGGGAGTATTATAAATTCTAGAAATGAAAAGAATACTAATTGCATGAACACGCACCACAACCCCATTGCTGATTTAAAGATTTGGCTGTTTATGGCCTAGTACTTTTTGATTTTTAACAAAAAATGCATGACTGAGGAATTGACAGGCATTTTACTTTTCTGTAGATGAAGTAGATTATCTTTATCTTTATCATTTGACTAAAGTATGTGTTAGTGTGAGTGTGTTAAACCAGTGTGGGTATTATTTGAAACTCATGGTGTCACTTAGTTCAAATAGTTTTTTAATGTATTTTATTTTCAAACCACGGAATTTAGAAGAAATAAACATTTTGAAGATATGGCCATGTTGTCATGTAGATAAACTTTCGTCTATTTGGCTGACAGTCTAGTAGGTCCTTAACAAGTGCCATCGTCAGTTTATTGTTGTACATTCTAGGAACCAAATTACTGTTCAAAGTACTTCCAGGATTTCTTGATTGTGCATAACATGAAGAATGATGCTTCTTTTGGGAATTGTTATTTGTATTTAGTAATAAATCAGTTTAATGATTTTTCATACTTTTCTGATGTTCAGACAAGTATAGCATGTTCTTCTGTATTATCCCCGAGGTCAGATGACCAATTCTATTCTTTATTACAGTTCATGATTTTGGTTAATATCATGTAATTTTTATTTCTAGGAAAAGGTCACTTAATAGTCCATGATTAGCTTTATCTCCCATTCTCTGCATTCTTATCCACCTAATTAGTTATGATGCATGGTGGGTCCCCATGCATGGTCACTCATGTTCATATATTTATTTCATTCCAGGAAATAATTTGCTGCTGCCTCCTAAGCTGGACATCGGCACCACAGAGGTAGTGTTCCAGTCAGAGAAGAACTTCACACTAAAGTGTATTGGGGAGGCTGAGATGGAATGGGTATACCCATCACACTCTGTAAGTTCATGGTGGAAGATCTCTTGTCAGTGAGACATTCGTTTGACCAGTTACAAATTGGTGCAAAGCCCTGAATTTCAGAGAAGTTTGATTCCAACTTGTTTCTCATAAGATTTAAAGCTTTTGATTGAAAAACTGCAAGCTTTGACCTTCAAAACAATTTCTCTTTTTTATTTTCACCCCAGTGAGCTTTTCTCCATCTTTGATGAAAAATGTAATGATTTTGATCTCTCTACATAGATGATCCAAAACATATGATGGGCATTTGTTGGTCATTTTGATTGATGGGCAGGCTTATTCTGTTGATTACTCTGCCAATTATTTATGGATTAAGGAGGGGAGCAGTTTGGAATTGACTCCCATCAAAGATGAAAATACCATAGAATTATCTTATCTTCAAGTGGGTTAGCCATATTTGATACTTGGATCAGCAAGTCCTCTGATGTGAATGTGACCATTTTTGTGTAAATGAATTTCTGTTGTGTTTTTTTGGAAACATGCCATAAAAGTATTAACTATCT